AAGGAATTAAGTACAAGTAGATTATTGGAGTATTAAAGGGAAAATAAGGTTAAAATATGTTAAGATAACTATATGACAGAAAATAGAGGAAGATGGAAAGGAATTGCCGAAACAATTAATAGAAGTGGAATACAAAAAGGGAGGTGTGAGGAGGTCGTTGAAACAACTGAATGTAAGATATGATATTGAAATGGTTTGATGTGTGTTTTAAATTGTGTTTGTTATGGGCATTTAAATTGGACAGGAAAATTGGCTTCCAGGTGGAAAGATCCAAATTAGAAACAGAATTGTTAGAACCCAAAACTAAGAATTTGTCAAGAATGTATAACTTGCTGCTGAAATGGAATACTCAAGATGAAACGGTAAAATCGGCTATGATTAAATGGGCACAGGATGTTGGACACAACATTATGTTTGCTGACTGGGAACAGTTATGGACCACAGGTATGAAATTTACGGCATGTAATGCCTTAAGAGAGAATATTATGAAAATGATATACAGGTGGTACATAACCCCAGTCAAGCTTGCGAAAATCTATCACTTGCCCGACAACAAATGTTGGAAATGTAAAGAAACTGAAGGTACATTTTTTCACCTTTGGTGGACGTGCCCAAAGATTAAGGCTTTCTGGGAAATGATATATAATGAATTAAAAAGGTATTTAAGTATACCTTTCCTAAGAAACCAGAGGCCTTTCTCCTGGGCATAGTGGGCCAAATGGTGTTAAAAAGGATAGAACTTTCTTTATGTATGCAACAACAGCAGCAAGAATACTCATCGCAAAGTATTGGAAGACACAAGAACTTCCCACGCTGGAGGAATGGCAGATGAAACTTATGGACTATATGGAATTGGCAGAAATGACTGGTAGAATCCGTGACCAGGGAGAAGAGTCAATGGAGGAAGATTGGAAGAAATTTAAAGACTATCTTCAGCAACATTGCAAAATCAAAGAATGCTAGAGTGATGTTGGACTGAAAATAAGCGTTTTCCAGCTGTACAGGTTAAAGTTAATGATAGATTAAGATTAAAGATTAGGATTAAAGATGTTTAAAGAAATGGAAATTTGATACTAAGAGGAAAAATTTTAATGTTATATGACACCAAGACTAAAGATCAGGTTTAAAGAAGTTGAAGTTATATATTTTAATATCTTATTAAAGTTAAAAGATTGGGATTAAAAAAGTGGAAAAGAAATTGCTGGATAATCAATTTGGCTTGGAATACAAAAGAGGGAGGTATGAGGAAGTCCAGAAAATAAGTAATTTCCGATCCTGGAAATGGGCTGCCAGTAGGACTGACGTGCCTTAGAATGCTTATTGACTGCGATTAGAACATTCACTGAAACTTATGGACTATATGGAATTGGCGGAAATGACTGGTAGAATCTGTGACCAGGGAGAAGAGTCGATGGAGGAAGACTGGAAGAAATTCAAAGACTATCTTCAGAAACACTGCAAAATTAAGGAATGTTAGAGTGATGTTGGATTGAAAATAAGTGGTTTCCAGCTGTACAGGTTAAAGTTAAGGATAGATTAAGATTAAAGATCAAGATTAAAGATGTTTAAAGAAATGGAAATTTGATAATAAAAGGGAAAAATTTAAAGGTATATAATATTAAGAACAAGGATTAGGTTTAAAAAAGTTGAAGCTATATATTTTAACACTTTATTAAATTAAAAGATTGGGTTTAAAAAGTGGAAAAGAAACTGCTGGACAAATAATGTAGATTGGAATACAAAGAGGGAGGTATGAGGAAGTCCAAAAAATAAGTAATTTAAAATTGGGAATGGAAAAGAGAGTTTGTTTTTAATTGTTACATTTTGTGTTTTTATTGTTAAATTTTGTATTGTTTTTTTTTCTGTGTGTGTTGTTTTTCTTTTTTCTTTGTTTAAAACCTTAATAAAAAATTATTAAAAAAATAAAATAAATTGTGTTTGTTATGTCTTGCATAGTTTATTGTGTTAGTGATGTGTTGTGTATTGTGTATACATTGTATTGTATTGTTTCCCCCCCTCTTTTTTTCTCTTTTTTCTTCCCTTTCCCTTCCTTTTTTTCCCTTTTTGTAATCTTTAAAAGTAATAAATATTATTTTAAAAAAAAAAGAGTTTGAGTGTCTTCAAAGCCCATGACACCTTTGGCAAAGGCTGTTCTCCAACTGGAGCGCTCGCAGGCCAGTGATTCCCAGTTGGTGGTGTTCCTCTACATTTTTAAAAGATTTGCCTTGAGAGAGTCTTTGAACCTCCTTTGTTGACCACCAGCATTACACTTTCCATTTTAAGTTCGGAATAGAGCAGTTGCTTTGGAAGACAATCATCAGGCATCCACACAACATGACCAGTCCAACGAAGCTGATGTTGAAGAATCATTGCTTCAACGCTGGTGATCTTTACTTCTTCCAGTACACTGCAAGTACCCAGATGCCTCCTCACATGTCCCACAAATGGGTTTTGCTTTGCTTCCCTGCCCTGTGCTAGACTTGTCCTTTGCAATAGCTTTTGGTCCCTCTGGGCAAGTCCAGGCCCCTCAACTTTGGCCAGACTGCACTTGCCATGCTGCTGAGCAAGGCGGTCCAAACAAAAACAATATCTTATTACGCAGATGCAATAGTTGTGGGAATGCTTAGGGATGCGGGGGAGGATATATTGTCTAAGATATCCTATCCCAATTTGTCTTTACAAGTTCAACAAAATCAGCAGAGTTAACATTCCCCCTTTTTTAAACACACGCACAGCAGATAGCTTCCTCAGACTCGTTAGAGTCTCTGTAAATATTTCCTGGTATTTTCCCTGTTTAATCCCTCCTAAAATAAGACGCTACACAGTATCCTGTAAAGTATAAAAGTTACTCACAAGTAATCATCTGTACACACAAAGGTTCCCAGAAGGCAGACTTAAAAGGTTATAACATAGTTTAAATGTGGTGACTATCTCCTTATGGGAGAAAGCCTCCCCTTTTCTTCTCTTGGCCTGGAGCCAAGGGTGCATCTTAGTAGTGCTGTTGTTAAGATGGCATCAATAGAGGCATGAGAGACAAGAATGGTCGCCAGCCTGTGGTTCTGGTTCTTTCTACTTCAGGAGAGGCCACGCTCATCTCAAGCTACACACAGGAAGTTTTGTCTTAGTCCTGGAAAGCAGGAAGTTCCGGCTGGAGGACTGAAATAACCTTCATGTCTACTCTAGCCATGTTGTGTTTGACTGCACCTGATTCTTATATCCCACATACCCCTTCTCAGACAAATACAACATACAAAAATGTAGATAACTTCAATCAACCACCCAGAGTCCCAGTTTGATACGTAGGTTCTGGAAACTCTCTCTTGGTAAGGGTTTTGTCAGGATGTCAGCAGTCATCTCGTCGGTGCAGCAATAAGATAATTCTACAAGTCCATCCTGGATCATCTGGCATATATAATGTTACCTGACTCCAATATGTTTCGTTCTGGCTAGAAATTGCTCACTCTGCGTCAGCTTTATGCAACTCTGACTGTCCTCTAGCAAGCTGACAGGTTCTTTTCTCATCAACCCAAAGTCCTTGATGAGTTGATCAAACCAGGCGATTTTTCTGCACACTTCCACTGCTGCAGAGTGCAACAGGCTCAGTGGTAATGTTTGTAACAAATTTCTTTACTGGTTCCTTCCTATCATATGGATCCAATTCAGGATGTGCACCATATACAATCCTTAAGCAAGGTATAAAGGTAAAGGGACCCCTGACCATTAGGTCTAGTCGTGGCCGACTCGGGTTGCGGCGCTCAACTCGCTTTATTGGCCGAGGGAGCCGGCATACAGCTTCCAGGTCATGTGGCCAGCAGGACTAAGCTGCTTCTGGCGAAACCAGAGCAGCACACGGAAACGCCATTTACCTTCCCTCTGGAGCGGTACCTATTTATCTACTTGCACTTTGACGTGCTTTCGAACTGCTAGGTTGGCAGGAGCAGGGACCGAACAATGGGAGCTCACCCCGTTGTGGGGATTCGAACCGCCGACCTTCTGATCGGCAAGCCCTAGGCTCTGTGGTTTAACCCACAGCGCCACCTGCATCCCTCCGCGTCATGTTTTAATAATGGGTTAAAAAGGTAAAGGTAAAGGACCCCTGACTGTTAGGTCTAGTCGCGGACGACTCTGGGGTTGCGGCACTCATCTCGCTTTACTTGCCGAGGGAGCCAGCACTTGTCCGCAGACAGTTTTTCCAGGTCATGTGGCCAGCATGACTAAGCCGCTTCTGGCAAAACCAGAGCAGCGCACGGAAACGCCATTTACTTTCCCACCGGAGCAGTACCTATCTATCTACTTGCACTTTGACGTGCTTTCGAACTGCTAGGTTGGCAAGAGCAGGGACCACAGCACCACCTGCATCCCACACAACACATTTAAAAGGCCATAAATTAGACCAAGGCCTGGGAGAAGAGGAATGCTCTTGCCTGGTGCCTGGCACAGCCATTGTGATTAATCTTGAATTGTTTTGTAGACAGATGAAACAGGCTATTGGGAGACGTTAATGAGTATGAAAATAGGTCAGTCGTAATAACGAAAGACATCGGAATTTTAAATATATATAATCGCCCGCATGAGATTATGATGAGGCTCAGTGGTTTAGACCACAGCGCCACTCGCGTCCCTAATAATGGGTTATGAACCTTAAAAGTAGGACGTCCTGAGTCCATATAGTTACCAAAACCATTCCTTAACCTTTCCTTAACGTTTTAAACCAGGAGTGTATAGGGAAGCTTCCCGTCAAGCAGAAACACACTGAGACTCAGCCGGACACGCCAGAACTTTTGTAAGCCAGTATTAGCAGCAGCGCCATCACTAGATTCAAGGAGGCAGAGACAAAACCGGAGTCACATATGTGCTTGAAAGAGATTTTATTCATCGGTGTGTCACACACAGGCCAGGCAGGAAAGAGGCGAAGGTGCTGGAACATAGCAAGGACAATGGCTTGGGCCCCAATGGAAGGAAAGGACTCGAAGCCAACCCTGTTATTCAACGTGTGGGGCTCATGGAAGCTGTTTGGAAAGCCATGGCAAACTGCTGCACTCAGTACAATGGAAATCGGCACAGAAAGGGAAACTTTTCCTCACACTTATTATCATTCCATAGAGCAAGGTCTGGAAGAAATCAGAAAGAAATGTCACCAGGTTTTCCCTACTGAAACAGTGCTATTTATCACAGCTGGTAAAGTGATACAGATGGTATCATGTGGTTCACACATGAGAGCACATAGCGTTTTCAAGAAACACCTTTAAAAAGGAACTTTCCAAATTCTTTAAACATTGCAGGTTTCTTTTTTCTTTTTTAGTCTTTTAAAAAGGTAAAGGGACCCCTGACCATTAGGGCCAGTTGTGACTGACTCTGGGGTTGCGGCGCTCATCTCGCTTTACTGGCTGAGGGAGCCGGCATACAGCTTCCGGGTCATGTGGCCAGCATGACTAAGCCTCTTCTGGCAAACCAGAGCAGCGCATGGAAACACCGTTTACCTTCCCACTGGAGCGGGACCTATTTATCTACTTGCACTTTGACATGCTTTTGAGCTGCTAGGTTGGCAGGAGCAGGGACCGAGCAACGGGCGCTCACTCTGTTGCGGGGATTCCAACCACCGACCTTCTGATCGGCAAGTCCTAGGCCCTGCGGTTTAACCCACAGTGCCACCCACATCCCTTTTAGAGGTGCATTAAAATCTGGGTGTGGGTGGGTGCATGTACTATTGAAGTATCGAGCATTTAATTGCCCTGCTTGTACCTCTAATTTCGGCTCTGCTGGAGGAGAGGACTATGGGCAAGATCAGCTGTGCCAGATGACAGGGACTGATGAAGACTCCCCTTTATTCTTGAACTGAAAATTGATATATGCCACCCAGAGCACAGGGCAGAGAAAACTCTGAAGGATGAGCTCTGCTCTTGGCAACAGCTTTTCTTAAAAACAAACAAATAAACAAACAAAACAAAAAACCATTGGTGGTGCATTTGCCAAATGATGGGGGCGGGGGGAAATCTAATATCTGATCCCTTTGATTTTCAATCTAAAATCAATAATGGCAATCAATCTGGTATACATACTATATCACAGGCACATCCAATGGGTAGATTGTGATCTACCAGTAGATCACAGGACACCTGTGGTAGATCACAGGCTCCCCACAAAGAAGCTCAACAACTTTGGATCCCCTACTTTGGTTCAACATTTTAGCTCTGTACCCCCAACTTCGATGACCTGAACCTCTGAAACCCCCCCCCCCAAATGGGGTAGATCACTGGCAGTCTGTAACTCTCTGAGTAGATCACAGTTTCTTGGGAGTTGGCCACCCCTGCTATATCAGAATTTGGGATCTCTGCAATATTAGTAATACAGCAAAGTTTGCCAAAGAGAAAAGGTGTGCTGCACACACAAAGCTTCATTTCAAAGCGGGTGGCGCTGTGGTCTAAACCACTGAGCCTCTTGGCCTTGCTGATCAGAAGGTCAGCGGTTCGAATCCCCGCGATGGGGTGAGCTCCCGTTGCTCTGTTCCAGCTCCTGCCAACCTAGCAGTTCGAAAGCTCGTCAAAGTGTAAGTAGATAAATAGGTACCACTCGGGCAGGAAGGTAAACAGTGTTTCCATGCGCTGCTCTGGTTTCGGTGTTCTGTTGCACCAGAAGCGGCTTAGTCATGCTGGCCACATGACCCAGAAAACTGTCTGTGGACAAACGCCAGCTCCCTTGGCCAGTAAAGCGAGATGAGCGCCACAACCCCATAGTCATGTTTGACTGGACTTCATCATCCAGGGGTCCTTTACCTTACAAGCATGGGAAAAGGAAGTCCTCACTGGTGCCAGATATGAGTAAGTAGGATTTCTCATATGGCAGACAGGTTCTGAGACTGTGTCCTGGTTCAAATAAAGCTCTTCTTGCAACTGAGGACTCAGCTAGACTGGTAAAAAAAAAGTGATTTATATGTGTTGTATGTGCAATATAACACCCTGCCATCAGATTGCGATGTGGAGTCCTGTTTGTCTCTACCTGCTTTCCCTGTTTAAATTTATGCTTTAAACTGAAATGCTTCTTCGACGTGTCTAGATCCAGCCTGACAAGCCCTGTGTGACTGTTAATCTGTTTTGTGGACTATACAACCAGTCCTACTCTGCCCTGAAGACTTAGGGTTGCCACACCTCTTTTTGTCAGCTGGCTGGCTCTGAGATGGGACTCTCCTGCTGCAATTCAAAATCCCAATTTTCAAATGCAGCTACCCAAGAACATTCTGAATTATGCGGGGAAGCTTGTGCTTGCTATACAGTGCATATCTGCAAAGGGTTGCCTTAATAGGGAGGGCAGGAAAGAAGAATTGGAAGACTGAAATTAAGAAGAAATGTTCTCTGAACCCCACCAAGGTGGTCAAATCTCCTTACTTTCAGCATGCAGCGCTACACAGTGCTCTTTTTCCCGAGCGTGCGGTTCCCCAACTGCCCAAGGCATGTAGTCAGCTGACGCAAAATCTGCCCACCTCCACCTTGGGAACTGCAGAGATAGCAAAAGGGTCAGTGTCTTTTTGAAAAAGCAGCACCATCCAATTCTACCTCCTCATCCCTGATTCAGACTCTTTCATTGGCTCTGCCCAAGTAAAAGACAAGACAAAACCCATATGGACTTCCAAAGTATGTAAGGATTTGCTGAGTTACAATAGTCAGTTTTGGGGAAAATATTAGGCGGGCAATGGTCTCACCAACATGGAATGGAGACAGTGTGGGGTATAACATAAGCATAACAGCCTCGGCCCAGTATACCTGAAGGAGCGTCTCCACCCGCATCGTTCAGCCCTGAGGTCCAGCTCTGAGGGCCTTCTGGTGGTTCCCTACCTGTGAGAAGTGAGGTTACCAGGAACCAGGTAGAGGGCCTTCTCAGTGGTGGTGCCCGCCCTGTGGAATGCCCTCCCATCAGATGTCAAGGAGATAAACAGCTATCTGACTTTTAGAAGACATCTGAAGAAAGCCCTGTTTAGGGAAATTTTTAATGACTGGTGTTTTATTGTGTTTTTAATCTTTTGTTGGAAGCCTCCCAGAGTGGCTGGGGAAACCCAGCCAGATGGGCAGGGTATAAATAACAACAACAACAACAACAACAATAATAATAAATAAAAATTAAAAATAATATAATAATAAATTATTATTATTATTATTATTATTATTATTATTATTAGTCAAGTACAACACTTCCTGTTTGCCCAGAGTGGACACACAGGAGGGTGTTATTCCACAGCCAGGAGGACTTCGTGTCACATCCTCAGCGTGTGACCAGGTAGGTGGGCATGACCCCGGAAGACCCCATAAAAGGGCCAGTCACACAGCCACCTCCCTTCTCTTGATGCTATGTTCTCTTGATACTGATGTATTTTGCTGTCTGCTGGCCCTTAGCCACCAGGACACGGGCTTATTCCCATACAGGATGAACTCTAACCCTCTTCTGTAACTCTGAGCCAGGCTTCCTCAACCTTGGCCCTCCAAGATGTTTTTGGCCTACAACTCCCATGATCCCTAGCTAGCAGGACCAGTGGTCAGGAATGATGGGAGCTGTAGTCTCAAAACATCTGGAGGGCCGAGGTTGAGGAAGCCTGCTCTAAGCTAAAACCTGTCTTCAGGGATCCAACCGTGAACTGAATGTGAGTAAAATTCTTAATACTTTTAAAAGAAGACTTTTGTGTCTTTATTCTTTTTAGGAGGGATAAAAGGGGGCTTTTGCGGGAGGTGGGGGAAAGGGACAGAGTGTGCAGGGGAAATATCTAATTTACCTTGAAAACCATTGTAAACAATTAAAATTATTAGTAGGATTGGAATAACACTTGTAGTTTACTGTTAAATTTTGGGTGTCATGGAGATGTCATAGATTTGAATTAATAGACGAGATGCAGGAGGAAAAGGTTAATATAAGGACCCACAAAGGGGAGGAGGGAAGTTCAGGAGACTCTCCGGAAACTCTCTTTCTTTGCTGGCTGTTTGATAACCGTTTGCAAATTGGTAAAATCTGAAAAACTAAATAATTTGTTTGTTTTAAAGCAGAAAAATGAAACAAGATGCCAAATGTAAAGGAAGCCAGGACCTCTGTCCCTCTAACATTCATACCAAAGAGGGGATAGTGGCAGGAGCACCATTAGCGGAGGAAGGGGGTGTGGGGGTGCGGCCTGCCCTGGGTTTCATCCCTGAGGGTGGGGGGTGACATCGCTGTGCCGCTCTCCCTGGGACGCTCGCCACAGCAGCGCTCCCCAGGAGGCTTGCTGGCGGTGGCGCACGCCCGGGAGGCTCGCCACTGTTGCACACTCAGGAGGCTCGCCGCCACCAGCGCAGCCCCCATGCGCCGTGCCGTCCCTATGGGTGGTTTGCCCCGCCCCTGAGCGCACCGCCCCAGGATAGTAGCAAAAATTGCAGGCTGCCTCTACTCACCTTGCCACCTTTCATCCTGTGCATCCCAATCCAGACCTGATGCTTACGTTGAACACGCTTAGCTAGTTCTTTGGCCACAGCGGCCATTTCTTCACGATTGGCAATGGTGGCAAGATGCACCCCTGGGCTGTAGGCTTGGCATTTGGCCTGAGAGAGAACGAGGAAAAGGAGTCGGTTAGCCCAACGAACAGACGGTCGCCTCGTGAATACCACAAAGTTCTTCTTATTCCTTCTGTGCATCTGAACAAACAATCACTTCTGAGGGATAACAGGAGAGGTCATACACACCCCTGCCCCTGAACCGGCATTTTACCCTAAAAGAGCAATGGAGCAGGGAGAGAAGTGGAGCAGGGAAAGGAAGTAAATTGTGGCACCAGCTAGTTTTGGTGAGGATTATTGTCATTTATTGCTACTTAGCAACATCCCTTCTCATTTCCTGAACCCTTCCGCTATATTTTCTGGCTAGCAGCTACCATAGGTAAAGGTAAAGGGACCCCTGACCATTAGGTCCAGTCATGGCCGACTCTGGGGTTGCGGCACTCATCTCGCTTTACTGGCCAAGGGAGCCGGCGTACAGCTTCCGGGTCATGTGGCCAGAATGACTAAGCCGCTTCCGGCGAACCAGAGCAGCGCACGGAAACGCCGTTTACCTTCCCGCCTGAGCGGTACCTCTACTTGCACTTTGATGTGCTTTCGAACTGCTAGGTTGGCAGGAGCTGGGACCGAGCAACGGGAGCTCACCCCGTTGCGGGGATTTGAACCGCCGACCTTCTGATCGGCAAGCCCAAGGCTCTGAGGTTTAACCCACAGCACCACCCGTGTCCTTAGCAGCTACCATAGTCCCATATAAATAAACCTTAATAAAAAGCCCTCTCTCTGTGTGTGTAATCAATAATGAATACCAATATGAAGTGCTTTCCCCCCCTTCTAAAAAACTATTTAGGAGTACTCTCATTTTGACTCAAGAAAACCACCATTTTATAGTTCGAATCGGGGAAAATAAATACAGGCAATGGACAAAAGTGCAAAGATTCACAAAATGTGGGGGAAACACACTGCCAATATGACAATATGCCCTTACCATATGGACAAACCATTGTTTTCTTCAATTACTACTGCACAATTCGACTACTACTCCCTCCCTTTGATCCTGGGGTACATTTGCTTGGCCAAGGTTTTTACCAAAGGAAAAGGGGTTCACCTGTTGCAGGATCTCATGGCTTCCAAGAGTGTGGTTTTGATTGTAGCTTAAAGATCATCAGAGAAATAAGTTTTGGCATGCAATGCAAGTTGGGCAGCAAAGACAGGGGCTTAGGGATTTGGTGTGGAGAAGTTCCAAGATTCATGCCTTACCTCTGCTCTGTTCCAAGATTCTGGGTTCTCGTTGTATTTATAGCAAAATCGGGAAAAGGAGAACCAGTCTTCGGGGCAGGGGCCTCCTGAGCCTTTCACTGGAGAAGGAAAGGAGGGTCAGAGGGGAAGCAGGGTTTGTTTCCCAACAAAGCCACTTCCGCCCTTCGAAGGAGGTGGAGTTGTGGGCTTCACAGCCCAGCCCCGTGAGATTGGGGAGATTCCTGGCCGCGTCATCCTCTAGCCAGCAAATTGGCTGGCTCTGGGGGGCATGGTCTGCCCTATTTAAGGCAGGACGCGGCCGGGGAGCTCCCTCTTTCCCGCCTGCCAGCAGTTCCTGTTTTTTCCACCCTCCCGCCCTATAAGGTTTTCATTCCTTGACCTTGCTATGGACCTTGGTTGGTCGCCATTGAGGGGCCTGGTAGGAATTTTTCCACTTGGCAAATTGGCACCAGCCACTTGGTTTTAGCTTACCTCATAGCAAATCGTCACAACTTTCTGGGTATTGGTGGTTAGGCATTGGTATTGTTCTGTAGATGGAAGAGGGGAGGAAGTGCCATCACCTGTCCCACATACTGAAGGGTAGTCTGATAAAGGATTCCGGGGGGCGTGGCCCTGTCCGAAGCCTGGGGAGGTGAGGGCCCAAGGCACTCCCCCTAGCGGTGACCCCGGGGGAGTTCCTGGTTGATGCGCATCAGCAGGACTCCCCCTACTGGTGGTTCACCCTTCCCAGACTTCAAGCGGACGGGCTGAAGCCGGATATAGTCGGTTAGGACCAATGCCTAAGCCAATACCGCTCATCACCTGTAACCAATAAAGTTGTGGCCTTATTTAGCCCATTAACTTTAATAATTGTGTCATGAGTCATTATTTCCACTGTGGGGGCGGGAACTCGCCACGCAATTAAAGCCATAGCCTTGCTGCATTTCATCCAATAAAGACTGAACAGGAGACCCCTCTTGATATCTAGCACAGCATATTTTATGTTCCAACATCTCCCATTAAAACGTCCTGTATAAATTTAGCAGACAATGACAAACCTAGACAGCATCTTAAAAAGTAGAGACATCACCTTGCCAACAAAGGTCCGTATAGTAAAAGCTTTGGTTTTCCCAGTAGTGATGTATGGAAGTGAGAGCTGGACCATAAAGAAGGCTGATCGCAGAAGAATTGATGCTTTTGAATTCTGGTGCTGGAGGAGACTCTTGAGAGTCCCATGGACTGCAAGAAGATCAAACCTCTCCATTCTGAAGGAAATCAGCCCTGAGTGCTCCCTGGAAGGACAGATCCTGAAGCTGAGGCTCCAAGACTTTGGCCACCTCATGAGAAGAGAAGACTCCCTGGAAAAGACCCTGATGTTGGGAAAGATGGAGGGCACAAGCAGAAGGGGACGACAGAGGATGAGATGGTGGGACAGTGTTCTCAAAGCTACAAACATGAGTCTGACCAAACTGCGGGAGGCAGTGGAAGACAGAAGTGCCTGACGTGCTCTGGTCCAGGGGGGTCACAAAGAGTCGGACATGACTAAACGACTAAACAACAACAAAATTTAGCAGACTAACCTTGGCCACCTTTTGAGCCGTCTTCAACTTTACTTATTTTGTCCATCAACACATTGTTATTCCTTCGCAATCCCGTTATTTCTTTACGAAAGGCTGCGGAAATTTTTTCCAGCTGGGAGAGTCTTAATTCTACCTTCGCAATGCGATCGATAATGTCCTTCATGGAGCTTTGAGGTGGAGCAGCATATATTTCATCATTTGATCTCCAAGCCCTCTCTGTAAGAATAAGCAAAACATTGGGCTCTTCGGAAGGGCTCATTTCGCCAACAGCTGGCATCTACAAGCTCTTTCAGGCACACAGGGCAAAGAACGGAGGAGAAATTTGATTCAGTTGTTATTATTAAATTTAATTTATTACAGTCGTACCTTGGAAGTCGAGCGGAATCCGTTCCGGAAGTGCGCTTGACTTCCAAAACGTTCAGAAACCAAAGCGCGGCTTCTGATTGGCTGCAGGAAGCTCACTTCTGGGTTTGTGGTGTTCGGGAGCCAAAACGTCCGAGTACCCAATAATGGGGAGCCACCACTGAAAAGACCCATTGTTCTTGTGTTTCCACCTTCCAAACCTTCCATGGAAGGGGCACATGAAGAAGGGCCTTGGAGGGTGACAACAACTATTGTAGCTGCCTGAAACTGGAGCTAGGGACAGAGATGGACTTCCATGATTGCAAAAGCAGGAATGATAGCTGGAGGGGACCAGAGATGGATTTCTACGGCTGCAAAACGTAATAGTCTAACATTCGTGTAGTTGCCATGCTTGGCCAAACCGGATAGTTGAGCTGGTTAATTATAAGCTAAAAATGAAGCTAGTTGACTCTTGAGGTCAACGCTTTCCTGTTTTGTCAAAGGAAGGGAGATATAATGAGGAACGACAAAACTTGACTTGGCTGGTTCTACCAGCTAGTTTCAGAAGGGAAAGTTTGAACTGGTAGCTATGGAAATATATATTCTCCTTCTCCTTCTCCTTCTCCTTCTCCTTCTCCTTCTCCTTCTCCTTCTCCTCCTCCTCCTCCTCCTCCTCCTCCTCCTTCTCCTCCTCCTCCTCCTCCTGTATACCACCTTATACCCGCAGGTCTCAGGGTGCTTCGCAACATAAAATAACAATATAGAAATACAAAATATAAGCAAAACGAACCCAAGCCCTCATGGTTGGCCTGTCCCAGGCAGAATATATCTTCGTGGAAGATGATCAGGAGCCTCAAAAGAGAAAGTCCGAACTTGTGTGATAGAGGCCCCATATGTACCTAGAGAGCAAGGGGAAAGGATTGGTAGAAAAGTTCATGTGCTCATGCAACTATATTCAGCTGCATTGCTGAGGGTAGCCATTTGCTTTGACTTAAGCAGGAAGAACTGCTGTAAAAATCCTACCACATCCTTGTAAGGTACTACAATATGAAGCCAGCTACCTCCATTCCAAATGAACACCACCAACATTAATTAGTCGTGCATATGATGTGCTGAATGTGTCCATGACATTGCTTAATAAACAACTAGGTAGGGAGCCCCAATCCATGCTTCAAAGAGACTACCGTATTTTTCGCTCTATAACACGCACCTGACCATAACACGCACGCAGTTTTTAGAGGAGGAAAACAAGAGAAAAAATATTCTAAACGAAACAGTGGGTGTATGATTTTTGTGGTTCATGCTGTGGCCACAGACATGTGATCTGACAGTGAGTTTGGGGTAGCCCAATGCAAAAATCCTGAGGATCCATGTGGATCCATGCTTGTAACCAGGTTTTTGCGCCATTGCGGCCCCATGAAACAGTGGATGTGTGTGTTTTTTGGTGCAGGCTGTAGCCATGGACATGCTAGGTGATCTGATGGTGAATTTGGGGTGACCCAGTGCAAAAATCCTGAGGATCCATGTGGATCCGTGCTTTGTAACCACGTTTTAAGTGGGGAGGGAAGGAAAAGCACTCAAGGGACAAGGAGTACGCGTGGGGGGTGTGGAGAAGGAAAAAGAAAAATTGTGACCAACACTCTCCCCCAACAAGCGCAGTGAGGTCAAAACACACACACACGCAGAGAGAGAACTGGCCCTAAAGTCGCAGGGCACTGGAAGTCGCAGGGGCGCTGGGGGAGTGAACGGGAAGCAAGAGAAGGAGAACGATCCCTCACACACAGAGACACACACAGAGTGTCAATTCTAAAGTCGCAGGGGCGCTGGGAGAGCGCAGGGGCGCAGGGAGAGTGAACGGGAAGCAAGAGGAGAAGGAGCCCTCACACACACAGAGTGTCAATTCTAAAGTCACAGGGTGAGTGAACGGGAAGCAAGAGAAGGAGAAGGAGCCCTCACACACACACACAGACACACAGAGTGTCGATTCTAAAGTCGCAGGGAGAGTGAACGGGAAGCAAGAGGAGAAGGAGCCCTCACACATACAGAGACACACAGAGTGTCAATTCTAAAGTCGCAGGGAGAGTGAACGGGAAGCAAGAGGAGAAGGAGCCCTCACACATACAGAGACACACAGAGTGTCAATTCTAAAGTCGCAGGGAGAGTAGAACGGGAAGCAAGAGGAGAAGGAGCCCTCACACATACAGAGACACACAGAGCGTCAATTCTAAAGTCGCAGGGGCGCAGGGAGAGTGAACGGAAGCAAGAGAAGGAGAAGGAGCCCTCACAGACACACAGAGTGTCAATTCTAAAGTCGCAGGGGTGCAGGGAGAGCGCAGGGGCGCAGGGAGAGTGAACGGGAAGCAAGAGAAGGAGCCCTCACACACACAGAGACACACAGAGTGTCAATTCTAAAGTCGGAGGGGCGCAGGGAGAGCGCAGGGGTGCAGGGCGAGTGAACGGGAAGCAAGAGAAGGAGAAGGAGCCCTCACACACAGAGAGACACACAGAGTGTCAATTCTAAAGTCACAGGGGCGCTGGGAGAGTGAAGGGAAAGCAGGAGGAGGAGAACGATACCTCAAGCACACACACACACACACACACACACAATCACACACACACACACAGCCCCTACAGTGGCTAATCCAAAATCGGACAGCAAAAAACTGCAGGCAGGGACAGAGAGCAGGGTTTTTTTTAAAGCAGCCAACTCCTGCTCTGCTTCTCTCCCTCCTCCCCGGCTCCGCTAGCTGACAGGCGCCGCTTACACCCGCTTTGCTGTTTCAAAGCGAGCCACGGACTGCTCACGACTGCAGCAGATTCCCCCACTGTAGGCATTCTGTAGGCATTCACTCCATAACACGCACAGACATTTCCCCTTACTTTCTAGGAGGAAAAATCTGCGTGTTATGGAGCGAAATTTACGGTATATAGTGGAACCTCTACTCACGACCACAATCTGTTCCGGAGGCCCGTCCTTAGGGTGAAACGGGACACTGGGAGAGACGCCGTTGTGCGCTTGCACGAACGGCAATCGCCGCTCCTGCGCATGCGCAAACGGCGAGTGGCGGCAAACCTGCCGGTTACTTCCGGGTTTGCCGTGGTCGCAACCTGGAACATCCGCGAGCAGAGGTGGTTTTAAGTAGAAGTTCTACTGTACAATGATCTACTGGCAGTGATTTACCTGAACAGATAAGAGCATCCATCTAGCTCAGCACCCTGCTCTCACAGTAGTCAACCTATGGGAAACAGGATGCAGAATTTGAGCATAAGAGCACTTTCCCCTCCTGGGGTTGTTTATAATTGCTCAATTACACATTTGGAGCGTAGGAGCCAACTCCAAGGGGCCCTGGGAGCTTCGACCTCCACAATGAAATATTTGAGAGGGCCAGGCCCCCCCTAAAGTTGATGGGCATTCCCATTCAAATGGTGTGTGAGCATTGCATCATGTGATCAATTATACAGGGCAGGGCATATCTACGCCCCCACCATATTTTATTCAAGTTGGCACCCCTGAAATGGAGAAACCTGTATATATATTGGTGAAGGGTTTGACACTGGGAAATTCCATGGAAGTACGCTGAAGCTCTCTCCGAGCTCTAACAGATTGATAACTAACTGCTGGTGTTCTCTGCTAACACTCAAGTGAGTGTTTAACCTTAGATCATGTGAAGGGATTCAGTTGCAAATCTCCTGTTAGTCTTTCTCTGGACGCCACAGAAAACATAAGAACGCGATCCTGGTGCCTCTCCATGGAGCTGCATAGTCTTAGGCTGGATGCAGGCTATGGGAGAGACAGAGCTTTGATTTTGGCTCTGATCGTAATTCTATATTTAAGAAGAACTTATGCTTGAATATGCATATGTTTTATACCACTTTTTGGAGGTATCATTGCTGTTTTGAAGAAGTTCCAAAGGGCAGGCGTGCTTGGGCTTGAGAGGCTGTTGTTGTGAGGATATATGCAGCTTCATGGAGGAAAGGCGGGGTTTTAAAAAAGCAATAAATAAAAACATAATCCTCCGCCACACACACTTTTGCCAGTCAGTTGCTCTCTACAGCTCTCCATTTGCTCTGCTATGGCTCTTAGCCCACCAACACATAACAACACCAACAGGAGGATTAGGAGGTCCAAGCACCGGAGAGGCTGATTTTTAAAAAATATATCTTTAGTTTAGACAAGCTACTAAGAGATTGTGAACAATGAGCAGAGGAGGGTATAAAGAGATTTATTCTTCCTCTCTTACAAAGGGGTTGGTTTTCTAGGACCAAAGCAAGCACACCTTCAAGCACCCCACAATCATCCTATGGAACTCACCGCCACAATATGTGATCTTGGCCTTTAGGTTAGGCAGGTTTTTTAAAATGATGGCTCAGAGAGAGAAAATTTGTCTCCCAACAAGTATTAGCCATGACTTGGTAGAAACGCCGAGAAACAATAAAAATATCACTACTACTAATGATTATCTTTTTGTGCCTGGCAAACAGCCGTGTCGTGCTTATGATAACATTCTATTCTCTTGTTAACTATGCTGCTTTAAATGTGCATTTTATATTTGACTTCACTTAGCAATGCTTTCTTTTGAAATGTTAAAGAATTCTTTGTGTGTTAACTTTGTTTTGTGTTAAATAAGTGTTCTGTAGTTGACCTCCTTTATTTTGAAATCTTTAAGGTAATAGTTTATTGTCCTGTTAACTATCTTGCTTTGACTGTATACTTTATATTTGACTTTCTTCAGAAATGCTTGATTCTGGATTGTTTTATTAATGCTTAATATGCTGTAAACTGTTTTGAGGTTTTTCTTAAAAACATAAAGCAGTATAGAAATTAATAATAATAATAATAATAATAATAATAATAATAATAATACAACCAATTTATTAACCACCTTCTAAAGCAGCGTATTAAGTAGCAACCCCCCTTTTCTTCCTCTGTGACTTCTGCTGTTGCGTCTAAATGCCCTGCCTTACTTCTACATCCATGCATGATATTTCTAACCCAATCTTCACCAACCAAGCACCTGGGAGGAATTGCAATCGAATAACTACAGCTTTTTAATAAATCTATTATATAACATTGAAACTGATATAGTAAAACTTAACACTCCTGCACTGCAGGGGGTTGGATCAAACGATGTTTTCCAACTCCACGGTTCTTTAAATCCATGATTGTTGGCAAGCAAACCCTGCAAATTTCAAACCCAGCCACAGTTTATTTCGTCCTCCCGACGGAGACCCATCCATTTCCCTTCCAACTTCTCATGTGCATTTGCCTCCACTGAGAGCCTCTGAAAGATTAGCAAAGCCAAAGAGAACTACTTACCTCTTTGTCTCACTGCCTTTCCCCAATTAACTTGTCCAGGGCAAGGGAAACTTTTGTTCCTTCTGCACAGGTTTCTGTATACAGAGACTGTCAGGGGGAGGCATGTGCTGGCAATGCAGTCATCAGTCACAACCTATTAGAACAACAGTTTATTTTTCCAGGTGAACAGTGACCTGTGAACCAGGAACTCCCAATGAACTGGTGTAGGGTGCATGGAGAATATAATATTAAAAGCTGAAGTTCTGGACAGGACAGACATAAACGATTGGGACATTTCTTTCAATTCTGATCACTGGTCCACTGAGCTTTTCTTTGGCTCCCAGCATCCTGTACTTCCTGAAGGGTGATGGCTGTTTCCATCAAACCATTGTTTTATTTTTGCCTTCATTTACAAATTAGTTTTTCAAATGATAGATGCTGCAAAGCCCCTGAAGTTTTCCTTCATCTCCAGCTTAATTGTGAACACTCATGAGTTGACCCAGTTTCTTCTTGGGCTTCCCAGAGTATTTAGGAGGAAACATCCCTTCTTCTGGGGTCAGCAATAGTCATACCTTGTGTTGCATAACCTCCAGGTTACGGAATCTTTGGGTTACGGCTGTGGCAAACCTGGAAGTGGGTTTGCCACTCGCAAATGCGCAGAAACTCTCTGCAGCGCAGCACATGTGAGCAGAAGTGATCCTCTGGTTACAGAATTTTTGGGATACGGCAGGGCCTCCGGAACGGATCCCGTTCATAACCTGAGGTACCACTGTACTCACCTTTCTAAATGTTCCTAGAATGTGCCATTTTCTTCATTTTAATCCATGGGTAGGCAAAGTAAGGCCAGGGGGCCAGATCCGGCCCAATCGCCTTCTAAATCCGGCCCACGGACGGTCAGGGAATCAGCATGTTTTAACATGAGTAGAATGTGTGCTTTTATTTAAAATGCATCTCTGGGTTATTTGTGGGGCATAGGAATTCCTTCTTTTTTTTCTTAAAAATATAGTCCGACCCCCACACTGTCTGAGGGACAGCGGACTGGCCCCCTGCTGAAAAAGTTTGCTGACCCTTGTTTTAATCTCTACACTCTTCTACAAACATTTTTAGAAACATTTCCTCACCAAGAAAGCTCACCAATACAGTGTTCAGAGCTAGTGAACAGAAAACCCCAAATTCCAACAGAGATCTGAAAGAGTCTTTCTTATAGGATGGCGCAATGACCTTATGACCCTCAGAATACATTGTGAGATCTATGCTATAGAACAGTGTTCACTTTGTGTTGAGTTATGATGTTCCCTAAAATTGTCAGCCTTATCCATCACATCAGATGCTCATGATTCAGAAATGTTTGGCTAGAAGGAAATGTCTCCATGATCCAAAGGACATTCCGTACTTTTCCGTGTATAAGACGAGGGTTTTTTCTTATGAAATAATGTCAAAAATGGGGGGTCATTTTATAAAAGGACAGTGCAGAGTAGGGATGGGGGAATTGGTTGCTGCCGCAAGCAGGAGTTTTTCTGAGGCAATTGGGCGGGTGATTGGTGGCTGCGGCAAAGGCTGCTGTCAATTGGCTGTTGCAGCGGCAATTGGGCGGCGGCTGGCAGCAAGCGGACAGACTATTGGCGGGTTTGGTGATGCGTGCAGTTGCCATCGTCAGTCTTGCGGGTGTGTGATTTTTTGCAATCCCCCCCCCCAGAAAGCTCAACAACTCTGGGCAATCTCCCCCCATTTTCTTAATTTTGTGTCCCCAAAATAGGGGGTGTCATACATGGGGTGGTGGTTTATAGATGGTAAGCAGTTATTAGATTTTTAGATAAGGTGATTAATTCCCCGAAGAAGAAGAAACCTGCAACTAATCCATTTATATTAGTATATTACTTTGGTTTGAATGAACCTAAAGACATTCCCGCATAATGTATGGGAATATGTACGGGAATATGTATGGGAATATATCTGAGGGTGCGACAGGTGTCAGAGGGCCAAAGGGGAAAGAACTGCACCAGCAGGGTTACTGGAATCCTTACCGACACCAGGGAGGCCCTGGGGGTGGTGTCCATTGATTTTATGACAGATCTGCCCAAGTCAAGGGGAAAGACAGCGGTGATGGTTGTGGTCGATCTACTGACCAAAATGTGTTACTTTGTGGCCTGCTCCCATGTGGTGTCAGCCGAGGAGACAGCCAAGCTGTTTGTGGATCACATTTTTAGGCTGCATGGAACTCCATTAAGGGTCATCTCTGATCGCGGAAGACAGTTTACCTTGCGGTTCTGGCGTAAACTCATGAGCCTGCTGCAGGTAGAGGTGAGCTTCTCAATGGCTAGGCACTCAGAAACCAACGGGCAGGCCGAGAGAGTGAACGGCATATTGCAGCAGTACCTACGCTGCGACGTCAGTGAGAGGCAGAATGATTGGGTGGGTGGAGAAATTGGCGCTAGCTGAGTTTGCGTATAACAACGCTGAACATGTGTCCATGGGGATGAGCCCCTTTATGGCCAACTATGGGCCTTCCCAGGGCGTGGAGAGGAGGAATGGAGTGTGCCAGCTGCAGAGCAATTTGCAGAAGATATGGAGGGACTCTCAGATTGCTATTGTGCCTATCAGGTGGTTGCTTGAGAGCGAACAGGCAAGATCCCTCACTGGTCTTTTCAAAAGCTTTATGATTGGTGTGAAGCATTTACATTGCAGAAAGCCTCAATTCCATGTCTTGCTCAGTCACTAGCAGAATCTGAGAGTGGGCAGTCCTTAAACTTTCCCCAGCAGAGTAGTCTCTTGACCCCCATCTGACGCCTCCCCTCTCTGCGCGAAAACCTACTGCGCAGGGAAGGCTTGGGTAAAGGGGGACCTCCCTCCTCCCCGCTTTGATCAGGCACGGTGCCTTGGCTCTTCCTTGCATCCTCCGAGCCCTGCAGCTCTTCCCCACTAGAGGTGGGGCCTCCCTCCTCCACTGAGGTAGTGCTGTTTCCCACAATCTTTGGGGGCTCTCTGTAATCCAGCTACCCTTCCACCTCTTGCCTCTGAGCTGATGGCAGTTCCCTGACACAGACTGATGCAGAAGCACAGGGCAACAGGACATTTACAAGTGGGGCAGGACGGTTGCATCCTCTGTACACTGTGTCCAGACTTCCACCCAGGAAGTTTGACCCCCAGAAGCGCAATCCATTGTCTCTCAAGACAGAGGAATGCCTACAACCAACAACAATTTTTTAAAATGTTCCCCTTGGGGCAGAAAAGCAATTTCTCCACGACACTCAGGTGGAGATGCCAGAACTTCTGTAAACCAAAGATGCTATGAATGGACGAAAGGAGAGGAGACAGAGAAACTCCAAGCCCTTGTGCTGATTTGAGAGAAAGTTTATTAGTATCAGAGGCCAGAGAAGAGAAGATCTGACCCACAGGCAGCCTATGGGGAAGGGGCATTGGAAGGCAGAATTCAGCCCCATATTCCTCAAAGGTCACTGAGCGTGTTGAAGCCTCGATAAACGGCTGCCCTCAGTACCTGGAATATCTGCAGAGATAGGAAAGGGCAGTTTCACAGTCACGGTCATTCCACTGCAGGTAATCTAGAGGGGGAAAGAGAGAAAAGGTGTCAGGTGCCTCTGTCCTTTCATGGCTTCTTCCCGCTGAAAGAAAATCTTAATTCAGACCTGGCAAAATGATCCCGATAAATTAAATTGGATTGCAGTTTCCACTCCACACATTTGACCAAGCGATTTTTGTTTTCATTGTAATTGACAGAATCTAGGACAATTCCGGACTGCAGCGATTTATGTAGGAAATGGTTCAGTTTGGTTTTGTATTTTTTGTTAATGTTTTATTTATTTCAGCCAAACATAACTGTGCATGAGTGTGAGTTTGTGTATGAATGGGTTAAGATCATAGAGGTGTGCTCCTGGGTTCAGCTAGGTCAAGCCCCCTCTTCTCTGATGAGGGAGTAAGTGAAGTCTTCACTCCTTGTCCCCCCCCCCTTTGCACCATGGTCAAGAAAGACATGCCTACATGGGCTCCAAGCTTAGAGCACATGGTTGAAGCTACCATTTTGCATTTACTACCCAAGAATATTCTGCCTGTGTTTTCCTTGCTGCTGCTTGGATAAACCAAAGCAGGTTGGGGCACCTCCAAGAGACTCTCTCTCCCTATCTATCTATCTATCTATCTGTCATCTATCTATCTATAATCTATCATCTATCATCTATCTATCTATCATCTCTCTCTCTCTCTCTCTCTCTCTCCCTCTATCATCTATCTATCTCTATCTATCTATCATCTATCTATATCATCTATCTATATCATCTATATCTATCTATCTATCTATCTATCATCTATCTATCTATCTATATCTATCTATCTATCTATATATCTATCTATCTATCATCTATCTATCTATCATCTATCTATCTATCTATCATCTATCTATCTATCATCTATCATTTATCATCATCTATCTATATCATCTATATCTATCTATCTATCTATCATCTATCTATCTATCTATCTATCTATCTATCTATCTATCATCTATCTATCATCTATCTATCTATCTATCTATCTATCTATCATCTAGCATCTATCTATCAATCATCTATCTATCTATCTATCTATCATCTAGCATCTATCTATCAATCAGCTATCTATATCATCTATCTATCTATCTAATTTCAGATCGAAGTTTTACAATCACATATCCAACATACAGCATAAAGACAAAGAACCTCCTGAACTTCCCTCCCCCCCCCCTTTGTGGGTCCTTTTATGAACCATTTTTTCCTGCATCTTTTATAATAATCCAACTCCAAATGTTTTACCTCTCCATTGTATCCCAAATTTTCCATTAAACTACAAGTGTTCTTCCAATCCTACTAAAGATTTTAGCTGTTTACAATGGTTTATTAAGATAAATTATAAATTTCCCCCATTCCTTATTAGAATTTTGGTCTTCCTGATTTCTGATTCTTCCAGTCATTTTGCCATTTTGGCATAATCCATCCACTGAAATCTGCCACTCTTCATCCACGCAGTTGCGGTTTTATACATAAATTGTCTTTCCTGCTCCATTGAGACCCAAGAGACTTTCTAGAAGAAGAAGAAGAAGAAGAAGAAGAAGAAGAAGAAGAAGAAGAAGAAGAAGAAGAGCTTGGATTTGATATCCCGCCTTTCACTCCCTTTACGGAGTCTCAAAGTGGCTAACATTTTCCTTTCCCTTCCTCCCCCACAACAAACACTCTGTGAGGTGAGTGGGGCTGAGAGACTTCAAAGAAGTGTGACTGGCCCAGCAGCTGCATGTGGAGGAGCGGAGACGCGAACCCGGTTCCCCAGATTACGAGGCTACCGCTCTTAACCACTACACCACACTGAATAGGCAGGTCACTGGTTCGTGAAAGCCTCCCTTCTGCTGACATGGCCAACTGACCTGCTGGTTTGCTCAGGTAGGAGGTGGCTAGGGACAAGTTCTTCTTCTCTACGCACTCACCCTTGGACTGCTTTCAACCAGGCCACGAGTGGCACACAGTATAGAAGAAGCTGACTGCTGGCACTCCCAAAGGCATATTGTGATACACCCCCCCCCTCACCATTAGTTTTTAGTTCGGCACACTTCTCAACGCCACCTGTCCCACTGGGCTCCCCGGGTGCCCATGCAGTGTATGGGAGTGGAGACATGTCAACCCACTGCCACTTGGAGATCTGTAGAGACAGAAAAAGAGACAGGAAATTAAGAGTTAGTTAAATAATTGAGATTTAGAACCTTAAGATAAGTTAAGAAATTTTATTTTAATTGGAATACGGTGTTTTAATAATGATGTTAGAAAACTGCTGCATTTAAATACAAGGAAATTCAGATGGGAGGGATCAGAGGAAGTCCAGAACATGTTTATGATGTTAGAAGTTTAAATAACCAATTAATTTGTATTGCTTAGGTGTTTGTTGACATGTACTTCCCCCCTCTTTTTCCTATTTACTTTTTTGTTAAGTTTGTGATTTTGTTTCTTTCTTTTTTGTCATAGTACGTGTTATATTTGTAAGAAACTTAATTAAAACTATTTTAGAAAAAAGAAAAAAGAAAAAGAGACAGGGGCCTTCACATATATTCCTTCACTCCCTGAAGGAATATATGAAAAAATAGGGTTCCGAAACTGGAATATTAATAGATAACGTGTAAAACACACAGGGGTAAGCAAGGAAATAATAAAAGAATCAGCTGAACAATGATTAAATTATAACAACAAAACAAGATGGAAGAAGGAGAGAGAGAGAGAGAGAGAGAGAGAGAGAGAGAGATCAAACATGGGTGAAGGGGAACGAGGGCTATAGGGGAATTTGAAATATTATTTATAATATAAAAGCTTTAATATAATATTTCTTTAATATACAGCTTTAATATAAAATTGGGAAAGGAGTACGACAAGGCTGTATATTGTCTCCCTGCTTAATTAACTTATATGCAGAATGCATCATGCGAAAGGCTTGGCTGGATGAATCCCAAGCTGGAATTAAGATTGCCGGAAGAAATATCAACACCTCAGATATGCAGATGATAAAAGCTTGATGGCAGAAAGTGAGGAGGAATTAAAAAACCTTTTAATGAGGGTGAAAGAGGAGAACGCAAAATATGGTCTGAAGCTCAATATCAAAAAAATGAAGATCATGGTCACTGGGCCCATCACCTCCTGGCAAACAGAAGGGGAAGAAATGGAGGCAGTGAGAGATTTTACTTTCTTGGGCTCCATGATCACTGCAGATGGTGACAGCAGTCACGAAATTAAAAGACGCCTGCTTCTTGGGAGAAAAGCAATGACAAACCTAGACAGCATCCTAAAAAGCAGAGACATCACCTTACCAACAAAGGTCCGTATAGTTCAAGCTATGGTTTTCCCAGTAGTGATGTATGGAAGTGAGAGCTGGACCATAAAGAAGGCTGATCGCCGAAGAATTGATGTTTTTGAATTATGGTGCTGGAGGAGACTCTTGAGAGTCCCATGGACTGCAAGAAGATCAAACCTTTCCATTCTGAAGGAAATCAGCCCTGAGTGCTCACTGGAAGAACATATTGTGAAGCTGAGGCTCCAATACTTTGGCCACCTCATGAGAAGAGAAGACTCCCTGGAAAAGACCCTGATGTTGGGAAAGATGGAGGGCACAAGGAGAAGGGGATGACAGAGGACGAGATGGTGGGACAGTGTTCTCAAAGAGACCAACATGAGTCTGACCAAACTGCAGGAGGCAGTGGAAGACAGGTGTGCCTGGCGTGCTCTGGTCCAGGGGGTCATGAAGAGTCGGACACGACTAAATGACTAAACAACAACAACAACATGTGATTGTAAATTTAAGTCTGCTGCAACTGGATTTCTTATGGACTGTTCTAATCCTGATTGTATTAGATTTGTGACCATTATGCTCATTTGCCTTCAGTAGCAGTAAAGCTCTGCTGTGTGAAATATTAATTGCCTCGGGTCTATTTTTGGGAATCCTGCAATGTGTTTAAATTTTTACTCTGCTAACTATCTGCTGGAATCTGCTCTGGATCACTATGAGTAGAATTTCATGACAAATCTCAGGGTTGTGGGTTCAATGAAGATTTCTTCATTGCAGGGGTTTGGATGAGGTGGCCTTTCTGGTTCCTTCCCTCTCTACAGGTCTATGATTCTATGGCCTTTATGAATCTAAGTCCATTCTACTGTCGAACAGCTGTTACCATCAGAAAATAAGATAAACAAAGGAAACAATAGGCTATTAAAAGATGATGCAGAGGAATTGTGCTGCACCTTCCAAAAAACCAACACAACAAACCAGCCCAGTGGAGGACTACAGTCTATTTAAGGTCCCTAAAATTCTTCTATGGCTTGGATTAAATTCTGAGCTGGGGAAGAGCTGCCGATTTCTTGACCTTTCAATTCTCCCCTATTCAACATGATGGAGTGTGAGGCCAGAAAATGACCTTATGGTATAACTGAAGATATATCTAGTATGCCAAATGGTATGAATGGAGATATGTCTGAAGTGTGAGCAGAACCACATGGTACGTGACTCTGAAGACAAAAGATAAAGAGGTTATTGAGTCATCATCATCATCATCATCATCATCATCCTTTTTATTCGACCGTCAGTCAGAAAAAAAGTACATTTTGTCGATACACAGTTAAAAACATCCAGGAAGATTTTAAAACTTAGTCAACACTAAAATGGGCTAAACAGATAGCCCCATATCAATGCAGTCAATTATAGTCTTGCGACGCTTAAAAGCTAAGAAGAGAAATTTGGCCACCAAGGAAGGTATAGCTCTAGTGGCGTTATTCAGCAAGTGTAAAACCTGGTTTTCTCCGGGTAGGAAGCTGAATTGACATAAGAGTGGGTCTATAAAATTTTGTCTAAGCTCTGCATAAGAAGGGCAAGTCAAGAGAATGTGTTCGGTGGACTCAACCACACCCATGGCACAATGACAGGTTCTCTGGGCGTATGGTACTCCCTGTACCTTCCCCACAATATCGCAGAGTCAAGGACATTTAATCTAGCCGCTGTAAGGAGTCTACGGTATTCCACATAGTGGATTTCTGCAAGGTAGGGGGCTGGTATGGTCCGATAAATCTGGTCCCCTAGGAACATCCCTGGTTTTACCTGGGCTATGTCCTCTTGTCTGGCAATGTCACTCAGTCTCCAGGAGATCAAAGATAAAGAACTATTGAGCCAGTTAATGGACTGGGCAAAACAGGATGGATGAGTTAATGGACTGCAACAAAAGCAGGATGTACCAAATGTCTGGGTGAATTAGAGGACAAACTGAAGACATGTTGAAACAAGCAAGCTATTCATGGAGACAGCATGGCAGCATGACAGAAGCCAGACTGTGGGATACTCTTCATGAGGACATCATGAGGGACCAGCGTAACAAAGGGAACATTGATTCCTATGAGAGAGGAGACTATTTAAGAAGCTGCAAAGCCCTGGCAAGGTGCATTGGCTGTCCAACTGCAGAGGAAAGCCACCCAACAGACTGTTAAGAAAGGCTGATCACCTTTCTTAGGGGGTCCAACCATCTGGTGAGTATGAATGAGAGGAGTGAATGAGTCCTTATTAGCTCTTACCAGTTAATCAATAAAGGGTTGTATTCTGAAGAGATCTGTGTCATTCTGTCTTTCTTGAAAACGCTCTGATCCAAAAAGAACTTAGCTGTTGTTCTTATGACAGGAGCACTGGGAAGGAGGAAGTTAAGAGGCTGTAGCACCTCAACAGTGATGGCAGAGTTGCCTCTCCTCCATATAATAATAATAATAATTTATTTATACCCTGCCCATCTGGCTGGGTTTCCCCAGCCACTCTGGGAGGCTTCCAACAGAATATTAAAATACAATAAGGAAGGATGGAGTGGCCTTTGTTCCCTCACTGTCCTTGGACCTTCTCCTTCCCTCTGTGGAATTCGATCCTATCCCAAGTAGCAAAGAGCAGGGAATGACACGTCCTGTTCCACCGCATGAGGAGAAATGGGAATGTGCTGCCCCTCCTCATTGCTGCCAAAGCCTCCTTTACCAGGCATGGGTGGCAGTGCCTGCGAAGCAGCAGGACGGGTTTCAGCAAGCTCTTGCGAGATTTTGACAAGGTCACACGTGATCTTCCCAGTAGCAGGCGCTGCTGCCAGCGCCTTTTCTCTTTTGTTGACAGAGGTGGTGTGGGATGACCGTGGCGGTGCCTCCTCTTGGGGTTCTGCCATGACTGCTTCAACCCACCTCAGGGAAGGGCCAGTCCTGTAAGAGAGGCTTCTCTCCATTTAGTTGAAGAAGTGATGGGGATACTGTTCTCCACACTGCATGGCAGTGAATTTTCAAATATTTGAAAATTTCTGGCACAATGGCCTCTTCTTCTAATGTAGGGCACACTTTCTTGGTTCAACGGCACCTTCCTAAGCTTTCGATCTGCAGTTTCCTCAGCCACAGAATATGGAGAGGAAGAAGAAACAAAACAAAACAAAACTAGAAGCTTCCTGTACACACCTCACTCGCCTTGTGGGCAAACAGCCCAATCCAGACTGCAGAATTTTTTTCTTGATTGAAACGAATATAGGCTGCTATTGTCTTCATCTCGTGGTCATCAAGGATGGAAGCCAGATGTGCTCCTTGCTTCTGTGTTTGGCAATCTGCCTGAGAGAGACAAAGAGTTAAGGTTTTCACCCTCTTTGACTCCATCCCACCCCAGGGGGATGAATTTCAGTGGCCAGCTTGGGTTGGCAGGATCAGCCCCACAAAGTATCTAGGGTTAGGGTTAGGGCTCCAGGTGAGCTCAAACATTCTTGAGCATAAAGATCGCAAAATTAGAAACGGCATCTTTACTTACGTCTACTTTGTGTGATACAAACTCTTTTTTTAAAAAAATAGTATTTATTAATTTTCCAACTGTTTAAACACAACAAAACAGAAAAACAAAAAAGCAAAAAAACAACAACATAAGACTAACAAAACAAGATACAAACCATTTAAAACAGAAAACAATTTCGGACTTCCGGGTTGGCGCCTCCGGCAATGGCGGAGCTCCTCCGTTTGGGAGGAACTTGCTCCGTGAAAAACAGGGTCTGACCACCACGGCGAAGGTGGAGACCCATTGAAATCACAAGCGGGAGAAGCTTGTGAACCTGGGATTCAGCTGGCACCTTTTGCGCCTCCCCTACTCGTGGGGAAACCCTGTTTTGGGGATCGGAAGCGACGTGGGGTGAGTGGTGCGGTGCTTTGAATCGACTGCTTCTTTCACGGAGTGAAGCCGCATTGCTGTTGCCAGAGAGCACTGACTTTTTCATGTGGACAATTGGATTTTAAACAACTACCCGTGAGTAGAACGGAAAATTGGATTTTTAAATACCTTAATTTGGCACTGAAGCGGGAAGGTCATAAACAGGAAGTCCGCCTTCCGTTTTTGTAAATAGACTGAAGCAAAGACGTTACAAGTTAAAGTCTTTGAAAGCTTTTGGCAAAGGATTAAATTTCCATCGGTTTAAAATACAAAACCCCCCTTGGAAGCAGGAGAAGAGGGGGAAATTTTGGACCTAGTGAGCCTGCAGGAGAGAGTGAAAAATCAAATTACCACTGCTCTGAACCTGGGAACGGGCTGCCAGATGACATTTGGAGAGAGTGCATTGACAGAACGGATTTGACAGCTAGCTAAATAAGAGTAAGATACTGTTTCCATTGTCCTCCTCTGCGTTTAAAAAAGAGGAAAAGTAACTGAAAATTGAAACTATCTTTAATGCTTGAGTTGTGCCAGAAAGAACTGATACAAGTGGAGACTGTTTCCCTCTAGAGGAGCTTTTGAAACTGTTACAGGAGTGTAACTGGGGATTTCCAGCTGCAGATAAGGATTCTGAGAACCAGAGATTGACCTTGGACCATTTAAAAATGTTGACAGGAGAGGCCATTGTGACTGTTTTATGTAAGATAAGCTGTTCGCTGGGACAGCTTCACAAGAAGATGGATGACATGACTTTTAAAGTTGATAATTTGGAACAGAAAGTGACTAATTTGAGTCAAAAAGCGAACACCAACACAGAAATAATTCAGGACTTGGTACAGGAATCCATTTTGGCAGGACAAATGGTGGAGGAGAAGGAGGAGAAGGAGAAAGCTGCTGTTGTTGAACATAAAGTAATTCAAGCGGGATCCGTGGCTTTACAGAAGCAAATTGAGGACTATAAGTTGAGGCCTTTTATGATTGAATCTAGGAAAAGTCAGACTTTGAGGAATGGACTAAAGAAGGAAAGTTGGAAAGATCCCTCTATGCAGAGATTAACTGACTTTTGGGACATGAACTCGGGCCTGGAGGAGATTGAAATTTTGGGGGCCTTTGGATTTGGAGGAATCTTGAAATATGCCCTGAAATACTTCATGGACTGTAGCTTCAACTATGGAAATTTGGCTGATCTGTTCAGAAGGAAGAAAAGGATTGACAGGTTGGAGTTTCCCCGAGATTTGCTCTTTAGCATTAAAAAAAATGAAGAAGACCTGCAGAAGGGACTTGGAAAAAAGTTAAGAGCCTCAGACATAAGATCACCAGGTTGATGGACTTTATGGAGTTGACGGAAAGGACTGGCAGAATCCGAAACCAGGGAGAGGAGATGGTGGAAGAAGATTGGAAAATTTAAAGTTTATATATAGACATATGGTAAAACTAATGAGTGATAGAAAAATGGTGGATGATTTTTTATGGGCTTTGCAGAAAAGTTATAAGGAGTTAAGCATATATAAGTATTTTAGTTTTAATGGAAAATAGGGTTAAAAAATACGTTATTTACAATATGATAGAAAATGGAGAAAGATGGAAAGGATTTGCTGAAACAATTAATAGAAGTGGAATACAAAAGGGAGGTGAGAGGAGGTCGAGGAAACAAGGGAATGAAAGATAGAGTACGGAAAAGGGATGATGTATGTTTTTAAATTGTTTTTGTTTTGTTTTATTTAGGGTTAAGGTTAGGGAGTGGGGTTTGTTTAGTTTAGTTTAATGTGTTTAGTTTTGAGTTTAGGTTGTGTTTTGCATTGTCTATATACTGTATATTGTTTTTTTTTCTTTATTGCTTTCCTCCTTTGTCTTTTTTTCTGTTTTTCTCTTCCCTTTTGTAATCTATAAAAGTAATAAATATTATTTTATAAAACAGAAAACAATTTCAATATCTTAACTTTCGTTCCCTTATTTCCACGACCTCCTCACACCTCCCTTTTTGTATTCCACTTCTGTTAATTGTTTCAGCAATTCCTTTCCATCTTCCTCTGTTTTCTATCCTATAATTATCTTAACATATTCTAACCTTATTTTTCCCTTTAATACTCTATTAATCTATTTATACTTAATTCCTTATAGCGTTTCTACTAAAGCCATATAACTTCATTCCAACATTTTTCTAACATTCATTATTTTTACAGTATTTCTATACATAGTCTTAAACTTTTTCCAGTCTTCTTCCACCGACTCTTCTCCCTGGTCTCGGATTTCTGCCAGTCGTTTCCGCCAATTCCATATAGTCCATCAACTTCATCTGCCATTCTTCCCGAATAGTTAAATCTTGTGTCTTCCAGTACTTCACAATGAGTATTCTTGCTGCTATTGTTGCATACGTGAAAAAAGTTCTATCCTTCTTAACACCAATTGGCCGACCATGCCCAGGAGAAAGGCCTCTGGTTTCTTCAAGAGGGTCTATTTAAATACCTTTTTCATTTCATTATGAATAATCTCCCAAAGTGTCTTAATCCTTGGGCATGTCCACCAAAGGTGAACTCTAATCCTCAAATTCGTCTGTTTTTCTTTAAGTTCAGTCGTAGCAAGCGTCAACTTACGTTCATCAAATTGCCTCTGGAGGGCTGGGGCTCTCTTTCTCTTTCTCTCCAGTTGTGTTACTTTACATTCAACAACAGCTTTTTCCCTGGCTTCCTCCGCAGTTTGCCGTATCAAAGTAGGTTCCTGTATCAATTTCTGGGTGGTTTCTGTATTGGTATTGTTTATACTTTCTGTAATTAAGTTAATTTTAATAGTTGAAACATCCACTTTCGCATTTATCGTGTCCATTTTCCTGTTAAGCTGATCCAATGAGTCATTTATCTTATATAATGCAGCCACTAAAGCCTCTTCTGTCGACATTCCTCTTGGTTTTAAATATACTGGTACAAAGGCTGCAACAGAAGGAGCAGGAAAGCCTGATGATGGACCTCTCCTGGATTGTTGCCAAGTCCTTCCAGACCTTAATGTTTTGTCAGCAGTTGACTGGTCTGTTTTTCCTCTTCCATTTACCATAACACTTAAAAGATTCAAGGTCAGTCCCAGAGTCTCACGGTTTTTAACTTGCAGCTGGAAATTTCCCTAGCCCAGCTCTTGTAACGCAACCAGTTTCAAAAGCTTCCACTAGGGGGAAACAGTTTCTATTTGTAATAGTCAATAGTATCCTCTTTTAAACAATCCAATATTAGTTTCAAATTAGTTTCAATTTTCAGTTACTTTTCCTCCTTTTTAAAGCAGCCGGAGACAGTAGAAACAATGTATTTCTCTTGTTTAGCTAGCTGTCAATGAACGTTCTAAACGCTGTCAATGAACATTCCAAAAGATGTCAGTCCTACTAGCAGCCCGTTTCCAGGGTCAGAGCGGCGGTGTTTTAAATCTCTTCGCTCTCTCCCGCAGGCATACTCAATCCACAACTTCCCCCTCTCTTCTCCTGCCTCCAAGAGGGGATTTAATGTTCTGTACCGATGGAAATTTAATCTTTTATGAAAGACTTTCCAGGACTCCAGCTTGTAACTTCATTGCCTCAGTCTATTTACAAAAGGGAAGGCGGACTTCCTGTTTTGAGCCTCCCCGTTACGATACCAAATTAAACATTTAGAAATCCAATTATTCCGCTTCAGCTCTACTCACGGGTAATTACTTTAAAGTCCAATTGTCCACAGGAAAAGGTCAGCGCTCTCTGGCAACAGCTATGCGGCTTCGCTCCGTGGAAGAAGCAGACGATTCGATGCACCACGCTGCTCACCCCACGTCGCTCCGGAGCCCCAAAAACCGGGGTTCCCCGCGAGTGGGGGAGGCGCAAAAGGTGCCCACCGAATCCCACGTTCACAGGCTTCTCCCGCCTGTGATTTTAACGGGTCTCCGCCTTCGCCGTGGCAGCCAGACCCAGATTTTCACGGAGCAGATTCCTCCCGGTCAGAGGAATTCCGCCATAACCGGAGGCACCTCCCCGGAAGTCCTAGACTCTTATGCCTCTATGGAATCAGCACTGAATTTTATTTGATAACAAATCAGATAGAAAGAACAAGAGATCACTTTGCCAGTTAGTGGTTTGAGTTTTTAAATAGACCTTCTCTTCCCACCACCACGCTGTGTACGACACATAAATGCGTACCTTCCTTTTATAATTTTGAGTGCACTGGGTCATGATTACTCCTTGAGAAGATTATTAGGAAAATACTTTGAGAATTTTCTTAGTAGTTGAACAGACTGCAATATTCCAAGAATAGCTTCTTACCTCTGCATCATTCCAAGATAGGGGATTCTCAAATAATGCATAGCAACTTCCACCAAAGAACATCCATTTCTTTGGGCAGGGACTTGCTTCTGCGCCTGCTAGAGGAGAGAAAATCTTGGTGAGGGGGTGTAGCAAAGTCATGCCCTTAACTGTAATTTAAATACAATCAACGAATTTCAACTACACTTAGAATCATAGGATCATAGAACTGTAGAATTGGAAGGGGCCCAATAGTCCAACACTTTGCAAAGCAGGAATCACAACTGAAGAACATCAACCAAACTCTGTTTAAAACTTCCAATGAAGGAAAGTCCACCAGCTTCTGAGGGAATCCATTCCTCTGTCGAATACAGAGTTGTCATACAACCTGAATTTCCTGGACATATCTGGAACACTGCAGTTGGTAGCAGTGTCCGGGCAAAAATTGTCAAAATTTCGGGGGGGAATTTGGACGTTTGGCAACCCATGTTGGCAGTGTCGTTTTCATCAGCTTTCCATAAAAATAGCTCAAAAACGTCAATTATCGATGTGATTTTGCCCAAAGCTTTCCATAAAAATAGCTCAAAAATGTAAATTATCTATGTGATTTTGCAAAATAAGCTCAGCAACTTGGGGCAAACAGCAACAACAACAGCTCAACAACTTTCTGTCTGGATTTTCACTGTTTGAAATATGGCAACCCTACTCGAACAGCTCTTGCTGTCCGAAAGTTAACCCTGATGTTTAGTTGGAATCTCCTGTCATTGGTTTGACTCCCACCCTCTGGAACGGCAGAAGACAAGTGTGCTCCATCTTCCTTGTGTCAGTCCTTTAGATAGTTGAAGATGGTTATATTTAAACATTTATACTGAGTTATTTGTGTTGAATTGCTTGCTTGAGTGAATGATTAATTACAAAGTAGAAAATGCAATCCTATACAAGCTGAGTTCAATAGGTTTACCCCCTTAAACTGCAATCCTGTAACACCTAATTCACCTATGGGCTTATCCACATTGGAACAAAATATGGACCCCACCACAGTGTTGGGCCAAATCTTTTCCATTTCACATAGAGTGGTGTTGATGGTGTTCTTATCTGGATTTTCCAAAAATCGACCTCTCCTCACTGCATTTAAAAGGGGAAGGTCCAGGACAGCACTGGGGTGAGGAAAACATCATGTGGACATCTCTACATCAATGGTGAGACCTCCACATTTTCCTCCAGTGTGGACGTGCCATGTATATAAAATATAACTTCTTGTGGGGAAGAGTAGGTCAGAATTCAGATACAGATTTGCTCAACGCTGTGTGCGGAGTTCTTTGTGTGACATCACACAGGGTGTGATGACTATAATGCAGCGGCTATAGATACAGGCAAAGACTAATTTGGGAAGAGGAGTCAAGAAGCACCTGAAGGAGGTGGTAGGCATGAGGACAATTGGACTCTGTCATCCTTGATCCCCAGTAGATTGTACTCAGGACATGTTCTACTGGTCCTGGATAGTCATTGATAGTCTGTTCCTCCATGAGAAAAGTGATTTGGGGAAAACAAAGCCAGAAGGACTTCTTTGTTACGGGAAGACCTTGTGTCTGTGGTGTGTCTGGGAGAGAAGTGTTTTTACTATTACCTGCCACCTGATCCTCATTTTAACTGGAGATATTGTGGGTCCAGCGTAGGACCTTTACCATGCATAATCTATGCTCCACCACTAAGTGATGGCTCCACCACTGCATACCAGCAGGAAGGAACCCCCGCTGCACCTCAGTGCCAAGCCATCCTGTTTCATCTTGGCTTGCCTCATCTGAAAGAGAAATTGAGGAGTCCAGCTTGGATGTACCTTGCAGGAGAAAGGTGATGACCAGGAGTTCAGAAAGGAAGGAAGCGACTGGCCCCATCTGTACTTGCAGAGAGAAGAAGAAGATGATAAAGGAATACATAGAGACACTCGCTCTCCAGTAGACTAAGTTTCCTATCTTTTATCCAATTCCCCACCCTATAAGAAAATACTTATTTTCCTGGGAGTTGACATGACTCTGTTGTAGTCAAGTTTATTACTCTTTATTTATTGGCTTTATATGCCACTTTCTTTCCTCTGAGGAGCTCCAGACGCTGTTCATAGTTCTTCATCTCCCCATTTCACCCTCATAACAAACCTGAGAGGTTGGTTAGGCAGAGAAGGAGGGACTGGCCCGAGATCACCCAATGAGCTTCCAGGCTGAGTGGGGATTCAAAAACTCTGGTCTCACAGGTCCAAGTCCAACCACTTTGCCAAGCTGGCTCTCTCAAGCTGGGATATCAGGGCTCAGGTGGACCTTAAGGTATCCTCATTGTCCCAAAATATTTTAGTTTCCTCCCCACCTCCCTTTTTCCTCTGAAAATGTTTTTCTTTCATTTTTACCTAAACCGGTTTCCTGTTTGGATTTTCCTGGATCCTATTCCCTGGATACTAGATTGATCACTAGCAAAAAAAAAAATCACTAGCTTCTGAGACTCCAGGATCCTGATTCCTGGAATGTCTCTCTGGGTTGGCAGTGGGGATCATGTAGTAAGCTTAAACTAGAGGGCTGGTGAAATTTAGGTGGTTGAAATATAGGATTCAAAGAATTATAGAGTTCTAGAGCTGCAACAGGACTCCAAGGGTCGTCTAGCTAGCTCAACTCCCTGCGAAACAGAAACCACAGCTAAATATTTCCTGACAGATCCAATCTGTTTAGGGAAGTTTTTAATGTCTGATGTTTCATTGTATTTTTCATATCTTGTTGGAAACTGCCCAGACTGGCTGGGGAAACCCAGCCAGATGGGTGGGCTGTAAATAATAATAATCATCATCATCATCTCTGTTTAAAAACCTCCAGTGGAGGAGAATCTACCTTTCAACTGTATATGCAGCACTGGATCCGAGCTGAAACAAAGCTGGAAAAAAGGCTTCAAACATATTCGCCTAATACAGTACATCTCTCCCTCTCTCCCTCTCTCCCTCTCTCTCTCTCTCTCTCTCTCCCTACCCTAGATTAAAAAAATCTAATTGATGGTCCAGAGATGTTTGCTTTTCCAATGACAGTTTGGTATTTTCCTTTTCTCATTTGAAAAGAATGTGTTTTATTAACTCTTAATTTCTTTGCCATGAAATATAACATCAACGTTTGAGATTTAATGTTTGTGACTGTGTTGAATGCACCCGCTCCCCAGCTGAAACACCTCCCCAGCTTTGAAATCTGCCAACTTTTGGCTTCATCTCTGCAATGGCACTGTGATCTAAACCCCTGAGCCTCTTGGGCTTGCCAATCAGAAGGTTGGCGGTTCGAATCCCCGCGACGGAGTGAGCTCCCGTTGCTCTGTCCCAGCTCCTGCCAACCTAGCAGTTCAAAAGCACACCAGTGCAAGTAGATAAATAGGTACTGCTGTGGTGGGAAGGTAAACGGCGTTCCTGTGCGCTCTGGTTTCCGTCACAGTGTACCATTGCACCAGAAGCGGTTTAGTCCTGCTGGCCACATGACCCAGAACACTGTCTGTGGACAAACATTGGCTCCCTCGGCCTGAAAGCGAGATGAGCGCCGCAACCCCATAGTCACCTTTGACTGGACTTAACCGTCCAGGAGTCCTTTACCTTTTTTTTAAAAAAACCCCTTTAGTTCCACTTCAAAACTGCTGTGAGAATCTGGTGCCACTGAACACCACTCCAAGGACTGGGCAAAAAAATAGCAATCTAGGAAAGCTACTCACTTTTCTGTCTGTCGTTCTCTGCTTCAGTTGCTGAAAATCATGGCAACTTTAACTTCTTCTGTTTGTGATCGTTTCAGAGGATTTATAGATAATATTGTGGAGGGTATGGGGGTGTCATATTCATTATGAGTTTGTAATAATCGGACAGATGCACTCAACCCAAAAGCACACCCAGACCACTTTCCTTTGAAAGCTCTATGGATGAGCAGCCGTCCAGGCAGCAGAAATTTCAGGAAATATAATATTAGAAAATAATGAAGAAACAATTGGACCAGGGTCTGGGAGAGCCCATGTTTCAAATCCCCACTCAGCCATGAAGCTCAGTGGGTGACTTTGGGCCAGTAATTGTCCATGAAATGAATCTGAATCAAGACCGGCCACTGAGGTTTTAGGCAGCTGCTTAGAGGCAACACTGGGTTGAATGAAGGCCAAAGACTGGAACTGAATCTAGAGAAGGCTGCAAACCTTACTCTGCATTGTGTCAAAATTCTCATTTATTGGCGTGTGTTTATCTGATTCAGAAAGTCAGCAATCCATTTTTGCTATCTGTACTGGCGTTATGTACCATCTATACATCATTTTCATATAATTTTCTTTCGAAAGAGAGCAATCTGTAAATTTTAAGTCTGTTTTCCACAGTTTTTCCCAGTCTTCAAATTGTATGTTATGGCCTATATCTTGTGCCCATTTGATCATGACCTATTTCACCTCTCATCTTTTGTTTCCCATTCTAGAAGAATACTATATGCACCCTTCAGCAACTTCACCTTCCCTTCTATGACTTCCTTTTGAAATCTAGAAGTGGTGTAACTAAATTCTTTCTTCTTGTCTTCTTTATACATTTCATGTTGCTGCCTATAATGTAGCCAACTCTGAAAATGGTCTTTTATTACCTCATATTCTTTTAAATTCATTTTTCCTTCTTGATCTTTTAATAAATCACTGTATGTAAGCCACTTCCCTTTCTTGCCAAGTGGTTTGAGCAATAAAGCTTCAATTGGTGAGAGCCATCAAAGTGTCTTTGGTTCTATCAAATCTTTATATCTCTCCCAAACCCTCATAAGGTAAAGGTAAAGGGACCCCTGACCATTAGGTCCAGTCGTGGCCGACTCTGGGGTTGCGGTACTCATCTTGCTTTATTGGCTGAGGGAGCCGGTGTACAGCTTCCGGGTCATGTGGCCAGCATGACTAAGCCGCTTCTGGCGAACCAGAGCAGCGCACGGAAACGCCATTTACCTTCCCGTCGGAGCAGTACCTATTTATCTACTTGCACTTTTGTGCTTTCGAACTGCTAGGTTGGCAGGAGCAGGGACTGAGCAACGGGAGCTCACCCTGTCGCGGGGATTCGAACCGCTGCTCTTCTGATCGGCAAGTCCTAGGCTCTGTGGTTTAACCCAAAGCTCCACCCGCATCCCAAACCCTCATTAATGATTTCCTAATTATATGATTGTAGAATCCTTTATGCACTTTTCCTTTCCCATACCATAAATATGCATGCCATCCAAAACTGTTATTGTGACCTTCTAAGTCCAATGCTTCTTCCTTTTCCAGTTTTATCCAGTCCCTGATCCATACAGCAATCCAATTCATTTATTTTCATACAGTTGTTTTATATTGAGAGTGCACCTGAGAAACTAAACTCGTGGGTTATTTTGGGTGGCCTACTTGTGTGAGGCCTATGAGTGTCTTAGAGTATGAATGGAGATATGTATGTTTTGAGTGTGAGTAAAACCAGATGGTATGTGACTCTGAAGATAAAGAGATTGTTTGAGTCTGAAGATAAAGAAAGAGGGACTGTTGATCCAGCTAATGGAGTGTACAAAACAGTATGGATAAGCAGGATGTACCAGATGTTTGGATGAGTTGAGGACATGTTGAGACAAATAACTGTTCACAAAGGACATGCTGAGACAAAGAACTATTCACAAAGATAATATGAGGAATCAGCGTGACGAAAGCTATGCTAAGACTTATACATAGTGAATCTATATAAAGGCTGAAAAATCCCTGGCACAGCGCATTGCTATCCTACTGAACAGGAGGCCGTATGAAGACTCTTAAAAGAGATTGATCACCTCTTTTAGTGAGTCTGCCCATCTGGTGAGCATGAATGAGAGGAGCGGATGAGTTCTTATTAGTTTGTTGTTGTTGTTGTTTAGTCGTGTCCGACTCTTCGTGACCCCCTGGACCAGAGCACGCCAGGCACTCCTGTCTTCCACTGCCTCCCGCAGTTTGGTCAAACTCATGCTGGTGGCTTTGAGAACACTATCCAGCCATCTTGTCCTCTGTCGTCCCCTTCTCCTTGCGCCCTCCATCTTTCCCAACATCAGGGTCTTTTCCAGGGAGTCTTCTCTTCTCATGAGGTGGCCAAAGTATTGGAGCCTCAGCTTCACAATCTGTCCTTCCAGTGAGCACTCAGGGCTGATTTCCTTCAGAATGGAGAGGTTTGATCTTCTTGCAGTCCATGGGACTCTCAAGAGTCTCCTCCAGCACCAGGACTTCCGGTTGAGCGCGATCCCGTCGCAAGCGGGCATTTTTCCCAGTGAAGAATCCCGGGTTTTTTTTTTACCGGCCGCCAGGTAACTCCCAGTAGGAGCGAAGAGTGCGGCGGGGGGGAGAAGCGGGCTGAAGGGAAGCCATAGCTACCTCCGGAAAACGAAGCCCCGAGCTTGCAGGGGAAGCGCTTAATTCTCGAACGCAAGGAATTCGACCCCAAATTGATTTTAAAAAGTGGATTGCAACATCAAGAAGGATTCGGATACGAAATAAATAAATACAGAGGTCAGCCGTCATCTGCAATCAGCTTAGACGCATCATACAAGCAAAGCTGGAGAAAGGGAAGTGAGTTGCCGCTAGCGACTATTGTCCCCCCCCCCCGTTTGACTGACAAAGAAATAACTTTTAAAGAGGATACTGAATAACTTAAGGAGGAACAAAGTTAAAAGGGGGGACAGAGGGACTAAAATTGGAATTTGAAGGTCCTCTTTGTAACTGTGAGAGAAAAGAAAAGGGAAAACGTTTCCAGTTTCACTTTTTAAAAAACTGTGCAACGGAAGAAGAGCTTCCGACTCCATTGTTTCTTTTTACGGACGGAGACAATCGTGAAAAGGATCTTTTTTCGATTTATTTTAGGTATTTCTGCATATCCTTTTTTTGGGGGGGGGTATTATTTAGATGGACTTATTTCATTTTTTTCATTGGCCACTGCCACCTTTGGGGTTTTTTTCTCTTAGAAAAACTCTAAGTAAAGTTTGACTTATAGACTCCTTGCTTAATTTTTTGAGTCTGGGCCCCCGGTGGTCAGAAGAGAAATTACAACTTGTTTTTCTCACTTGTTTTTCCTGTTCTCTTTGGTTTGGTGTATTTTTTTTTTTTTACCCTTCAGAAGGGGTTGGGCTTTTCTGTTTTTTTTCCCCTTTTCCTCATTACCGGGCTTTTGCGGAGTATTTGCTTGGATCTTCTTCATTTGGATATAAGTGTAAGGATTATATTACCCTTTATTTGGATATAAACATTTGGATATTATTTTTTATGTGGAGACCACTTTTTAAATTTTTAAATCTTCTTTGGTATAATTAAGAGGCTAAAGTGGATTATAAAACTAAATTGGATTATAAATCTAAACTGGATTACAATTTGAATTACAACCTGATTATAAAGGTTTCGAAAGGAATAGCCTAATTGGTGGCAGAAGATTCTAAACTTTAAACTTTGATTTTTAGAAGTAGAATAAACTTTTTTTTGGCGGCACAGCTGGAACAAAACTGGATTAAAAATTTGATTATAAATGGAGTACTAAGATTTCAAAAGGAATAACCTAATTGGTGGCAAGAAGAACATATTCATTTGGTTTGGATTTTAAGTTTTCACTTTTTCTAAGTTTAAGGATCCGACTGGGCCGAAGATAATTGGACATTAAAGTGAAGATTTGAAATTAGAATTAATAAAGGACTAAATTACAAATTTAAAAAGATATTGAATACCAAACTTGAAGTTAATTGGATATATTTATACCTTGGGCAAGGTTTATATAAGGTTGTGTAGTAAGTGGTGGTGAGAATTTATTTTCATAAATTCAATTTGGATTATTATGTGAGAAGTGTTTAAAGCATATTTGTGGAAATGTCTCATCAACCGAAGAAAGGAGGAGAGGGGGGAACACCAGCAGATAGAAGAGGATCAAAACAAGAATCAGACTTCAAGGGAGAAATATTAAAAATGTTTGCAGAAATCAGGCAAAGTTAAAAGAACTTAGAAGAAAAATTAGAACAAGTGGATACGAGAATTGGAAAAATGGATAAAAAATTTGATGAGACAGTAAACGAGCTGAAAGGTCAAATTAAAGAGGTATCTAGAAGAACACAATCCCTAGAGGAAGGGATGAAGAAGACAAGAACTGAAATGAAGGAAGTGAAGCGTGAGGAAGAGAAAATCAAAGTGGGACTATCAGAAATCAGCAAGTCACAGGAGGAGATATGGGATGCAATTGCCATGAACGAATTGAGGCAGAGGGAAGTGAACCTCAGGCTGAGAGCTGTGCCTGAGGTTCAAGGAGAGAACATTAGAGATAAATTAATAACAGAGATAGCACAATGGTTAGAGTTACAAAATGAAGAGGTTGCGAGAACAGTGCAAAATGGATTTAGGATGAGAGTAAGAACAACAAAGTCAAGGAAAGTTCCAGGAGATTGCCTAATTACTTTTAAAGATAGAGAAATGAGAAATTTGATACTTCAAAAAAATAAAGAAAAAAGACTAAATATCGATGGGAACTATATAATCATCTTTAAAGACATCCCAATTAGATTGTTGAAATGAAGAGACCCATATAAACCACTGGTGCAAATTCTTAAGAAGAACAAGATTGAATTTAAATGGGAATTCCCACAGGGGATTTCCTTTTTTTATAAAAGCACGAAGCACAGACTTACTAGCCCTGAGGAAGTGGGTAAATTCCAGAGAAGATACAAGGAATTAACAGAAGAAGAGGAAGAAGTAAAAGGAGCAGTTGGAGGAGTAGATCCCCTAGGGGGTAAGCCTTTGGAAGAGAAGGAGGAGGAAAACGGGGAAAAGACGGACGAGGAACAAGAAGAAGAAGAAGAACAAGAAGTTGACAGATTATAAAAATAATAATTTAAATTAATTTATTTAGGAGTTCACTATGGCGCTGAAATTATGGAATTGGAATATTAATGGAATGAATGACAGGAAAAAATGAAATAAAATCGAACAATATTTAAAAAGGAAAAATTTGGACATTATTTGTTTGCAAGAGACACATGTGGCAAGAAAACACAGGAAAATGTTGATTAATAAAAGATTAGGAAATGAATTCATATCTTCTGACAAAGGGAAAAAGAGAGGGGTTGTATTATATGTAAGAAACAAAATTGAAGCCCAGCAAATTTTTAAGGATGAAGAAGGAAGAATTATTGCTGTCCAGATCAAATGGCAAGGCAAAAAATTAATAATTGTCGGGATCTATGCACCTAATGGAAATAAGACTGATTTTTACAAAAATTTGGAAGAAAGACTGTTTGAATACATGGATCAAAAAATTATAGTAATGGGAGACATGAATGGAGTAGTTTCAATGGAAATGGACAGGTTAAGAGATAAAGAAGTTAGCAAAGAAGGAAAACTACCTAAGACTTTCTTTTCGATGACGAAGAATTGTAATTTAATTGATATTTGGAGACTCAGACATCCACTAGAGAAACAGTTTACATTTTATTCGGAACCAAATCAGTCAATGTCAAGAATAGATCAAATTTGTGTCTCAAACGAACTAACTCCAAGAATTCTGCAAATTGAAATCCAGCCAAGAGTGATCTCAGATCACAGTCCAATAAAATTGGAGATTAAAGGCTATGAAGAAAAAACATTTAGATGGAGAATTAATGACTACCTCTTAGATGACCAAAAAATTTTACAGGATGCACAAAAGAAGCTGATGGAATATTTTGTGGACAATTGTAATAAAGGTACGAAGATGAGTACAGTTTGGGATGCAAGTAAGGCGGTAATGAGAGGATTCTTCATTCAACAGAATGCAACCAGAAATAAGCACAGAGAGAAGGGCAAGAAGGAAATCTTAAAACAAATAGTGGACAATGAACAAAAATTAATCAAGAAACCTAACAACTCAAAAATAAAACAAAATATCAAAGTTTTGCAAACGCAATTTGCAATGATAATAAACAAAGAGGTGGAATGGAACATTAAAAAGTTAAGACAAAGAAACTTTGAGTTTGCTAATAAGTCAGGCAAATGGCTTGCGTGGCAAATTAAGAAAAGAAAGGAACAAAACACAATCAGTAAAATTATTGTGGATGGAGAAGAGATAGAAAACCCTAAAGGCATCAGAAAAGGATTCTTGGACTTTTATAGTCATTTGTACAGAAATAGAGAAAAGAATAATATGAGGAAAATAGATATTTAAAAGAAAAAAAGGTGCAAAAGATCCCGACAGAAAAGAAAGATAGACTGAACGCCCCAATTGAGAATGAGGAAATAATAGAGGTCATAAAAGAATTTTAAAAAGGAAAGGCTCCGGGACCAGGTGGATTTACGTCAAGTTATTATAAAGAATTGAGGCATACCCTGACAGCGCCACTGAAAGAAGTAATGAATAACATCTTGAAGGAAAAAGATATTCCAGAAACTTGGAAAGATGCCTTTATTTCACTAATTCCTAAGCAAGATTCCGATTTAACACAAGTAAAGAACTACAGGCCGATTTCATTGTTGAACACAGACTTTAAATTTTTTTCAGGAATATTAGCAAAAAGAATGAAAAAGGTTTTGCAAGAAATTATTCATGAAGATCAAGCAGGCTTTCTTCCAAGCAGACAGATGAAGGATAATGTTAGAAATATAATTAATACTTTGGAGTATCTGACTACCAGGAATGAGAAACAAGCCATATTGATGTTTGTGGATGCAGAAAAGGCCTTTGATGATATATCGTGGGAATTCATGCTGAAAAATTTAGAGTATATGGAGGTGGGGAATGATTTTTATAATGGAATAAGGGCGATTTATACAGAACAGAGAGCAAAATTGATTGTGAACAATGTAATTACGGAAGAAGTAAAGATATCGAAAGGTACAAGGCAGGGATGTCCTCTTTCGCCATTGCTATTTATAACGGTCCTGGAAGTCCTTTTAAGCTCAATTAGACAAAATGAATTAATAAAAGGGGTGACAGTAGGTCAGAATGAATATAAAGTTAAAGCCTTTGCAGACGTTCTGGTAATAACGATAGAAGATCCATTAAAAAGTTTAAATGAGGTGTTGGAGGAGATTGAGCAATTTGGTAAAGTGGCTGGGTTTATATTAAATAAGAAAAAAACTAAGGTATTTGTAAAAAATATGGATCATAGTGTAATAGAAACAATGCAACAAAAAATAGGGATCAAAGTGGCGAAGAAAGTAAAATATTTGGGAATATGGTTAACATTCAAAAATATTGATTTATTTCAAAGCAATTATATACTGGTATGGAATGGAATTAAAAAAGATCTGGAGGTGTGGGGAAATATGAAACTCTCCTTTTGGGGTAGAATTTCAACGATCAAGATGAGTGTACTTCCAAAGATGTTATTTTTATTTCAAATGATTCCAATAATTAAAGGGACAACAATTTTTAAAGATTGGCAAAGAGTAATTTCAAGATATATCTGGCAGGGTAAAAAGCCAAGAATACAATTTAAGTTATTAACAGATGCGACGGAAAGAGGAGGCTTTGCCCTGCCAGACTTGAAATTATACTACGAAGTGTCTTGTCTCTGTTGGTTAAAGGAATGGATAAAATTAAAAAACAATAAATTGTTAGATTTAGAAGGATTTGATAACAGATTTGGATGGCACACGTATTTATGGTTGGAGAAGAAGAAAAGTCATAAAGGTTTTGAGAACCATATCTTCCGGAGATCTTTAATAGAAATATGGGATAGGTATAAAAACCTATTAGAACCAAAAGTTCCACGCTGGTTGTCTCCATTAGAGGTTATGAGTGTTAAGAAAATTAATATGAGAGGGAATTGGATCACATATGGTGAATTAATAATTATAATTTTTAAAAAAATATTTTTTATTAAGGTTTCAATAAAAAATTGAACAGAAAAGTCATAAAAAAGAAATACACAAATACACAATACAAATCCCAGAAAAAGAGAAAAAACACAAAAAACAAAAAACAACAAAAAAAGAAACAGAACAATTAAAAACAATATCACCTTTTCATTCCCTTTTTTGAATTTACTTATTTTCTGGACTTCCTCATACCTCCCTCTTTTGTATTCCAGTCCAAATTGTTTATCCAGCAATTTCTTTTCCACTTTTTTAATCCCAGTCTTTAATCTTAGTGTAATATAGCATTAAAATTTTACCTCTTAAGTACCAAATTTCCCTTTCCTTTAACTTCTTTACTCCTAATCTTTAATCTTGATGTAATATAGCATTAAAATTTTACCTCTTAAGTACCAAATTTCCATTTCCTTAAACTTCTTTAATCCTAATCTTTAATCTTAGTCTGTCTATAATTTTATCCTGTACAGCTGGAAACCACTTATTTTCAATCCAACATCACTCTAGCATTCTTTAATTTTACAGTGTTTCTGTAGGTAGTCTTTGAATTTCTTCCAATCTTCCTCCATTGCCTCTTCTCCCTGGTCACGGATTCTGCCAGTCATTCCGCCAGTTCCATATCACATATGGTGAATTAATAATTAAAGAAGGAGGAAAATGGGAAATGAAGCCATATGAACAAGTAAAAGAATATGTGTTTGATTGGTTGCATTATTTTCAGGTAAATGAAATGTTCAAAAAAGATTTTAAAGAGAGTGGATATTCAGAAAAGGAATCGAAATTTCAAATAGAGATAATAAATAATGATTATAAGATATTGTCAAAAATGTACAAAATGTTGTTGAAATGGCATACGATGGATGAGGAAGTAAAGTCAGTTATGATAATAATAATAATAATAATAATAATAATAATAATAATAATATTTATATCCCGCTCTCCCCAGCCGAAGCCGGGCTCAGGGCAGCTAACAACAATCAAATAATCAAACAATCAAATAATCCAACATTCTAAAAACATTTCATTATAAAAATTAATTAAAATCAAATTAATGGCAACCGTTGAGCAAAATTCTGTGCAGGTTGCCAGAGGAGGGAGTCAGGCTGGGCCCTGACCAAAGGCCTGGTGGAACAACTCTGTCTTGCAGGCCTTGCGGAAAGATGTCAGGTCCTGCAGGGCCCTAGTCTCTTGTGACAGAGCGTTCCACCAGATTGGAGCCACAGCCGAGAAAGCCCTGGCTCTAGTTGAGGCCAGCCTCAATGATATGCTGGGCCAGAGACTTTGGATATAATATACAATTGGAGGATTGGGAACAAGTATGGAATGAAAATATAAAATTTACAGCATGTACTGCGTTAAAGGAGAATATCATGTAAATGGTATATAGATGGTATATTACACCAGTTAAGTTAGTAAAAATGTTCAAAACATGTAATAAGTGTTGGAAATGTAAAGAAAAAGAAGGATCATTTTATCATATGTGGTGGGAATGTAAGAAGGTGAAGGGTTTCTGGGAGATGATATATAATGAATTGTAAAAGATGTTGAAATATACATTTGTAAAGAAACCAGAAGCCTTTCTGTTAGGAATAACAGGAAGTGAAATAAACAGAAGGGACTACAAACTTTTCCAATATGTAGTTACGGCGGCGAGAATATCAATGGCCCAGAAATGGAAACAGGAAGAACTACCGACCCTGGAAGAATGGAGAATGAAACTTATGGACTATGCAGAGTTGGACAAACTAACTGGGAAGATTAGATATCAACGGGATCACAAGTTCATCGAGGACTGGGGAAAATTTACTGAATATCTGAAAAGTATATGTGAAGAACAAACAACGCTAGTGGGATTTAAAGAAGTTTTGTGAGAGTTAGAGGAGTATTGTTAAAAAGGAACTGGATAGTAAGGGTATACTAAAAGGCAATATTAAATTTAAAGAATGCGTAAAGTATGTAAAAATATGGATGATTTGCAGAGAAGCTGATGGAAGTCTAAAAAGCTGAAATTTGTGAAAAAAATTTGATATAATGAATTCGTATAATGGAAAATGCAATAAAAATTATTATTTTTTTTAAAAAAAGAGTCTCCTCCAGCACCAGAATTCAAAAGCACCAATTGTTCGGCGATCAGCCTTCTTTGTGGTCCAGCTCTCACTTCCATACATCACTACTGAGGAAACCAGAGCTTTAACTATAGGGACCTTTGTTGGCAAGGTGATGTCTCTGCTTTTTAAGATGCTGTCTAGGTTTGTCATCGCTTTTCTCCCAAGAAGCAGGCATCTTTTAATTTCGTGACTGCTGTCACCTTCTACTATTTCTAAGAAGGTTTGCGTCATTTTGTTTTTTTCTTGAAAAGGCTCTAATCTGAAAGAATCACCTGCCACCAGTCGTGTGACCCTTGTATTACAGTGTTGCATCAATAACTCCTGTTAGGCACACAAAATCTCCCAAACCATCACCCCATCTTGTACTCCTTGTTCAAAAATATTATTTCTCCATCCTCCAGAGGATTCGGCTAATAACTTCCCGGAAACGTTAACTAATGGCACACAACTAAACCACTTTGCTTTGAATGAGATAGCCATCTCCACAAATCTGAAGCACAAATCACATGGAAGATGGAGCAAGCTTGCTTTCTGCTGCTCTGCAGTGGAGGACCTGAACCAGTAGACTCAGATGATAAGAAAGGAGATTCTGACTCAACATTAGGAAGAACTTTCTGGCGGTAAGAGCTGTTTGGCAAAGGAACAGACTCCCTGGTGGACTCTGGTTCCTTTGAGCTTTTTAAACAGAGCTTGGATGGCGACCTCTCATGAATGCTTCAGTTGTGATTTCTGTGTGGCAAGGGTTTGGACTAGAGGACTATTGGAGAACTTTCTTCTTCCACAATTCTACTATTCCATCAGTATCCATGTTCGCCCTGCTTTCCTCAGATCCCTTTTGCTTGTCAGATGCACTCTTCGGGAGCCTGTACTTTGCATTGGGGCATTTGGCTTTAAGAAAAAGATGGAAAGTTTCGGTGGTGGAACCGAAAAAAAGACTGAGGACCTTGGGTCCACTTCTACAGTCTATTTTGTGCTGAGCAGTAAGAAGCTTACACACAACCTTTCTGTCACCACCACCATTTACTACCATTGGTGAATATGCTGGTTCTTCCAATAGCCTCAGAAGATTACTATGAACGTTATCTGCATTACTAAAATCAGAAATATTTCCATTAAACCTAATAGGCAGGTTGTGGTGTTTTTTAAGAAGACAGTCTGTCTTGTTGCAGGCTGCTAGTTTATTAAATGTGCGTTTCTTTGGCTTATTCCAAGAAACTGGTCACCTGACCGTGAAGTTGTTTTATGCCTTCTGGTACATGGAGAAATTTCCTTATGGAATCAAGTATCTGAGCAATGAGCAAAAGATTGCAGATAACCACGACTATTGCAATGATGTCCGTCCACCTGATGGAATCCTGGGTTGGGTTCTGAGTCGCTTCGGTGCATGTTCAGGAAATATAATGGAAGGCGGAAAATGTTATCTACATGCATACATGCTCCACCAGAACCTCTGCTTTTTAATGCAAATTTGTTTGTGCTTCTTGTCATGTCCATTCCTTTCTGCAATCAAATAGCGCAGAGATACTTCACATTTTGCATAAAAGTAATAGATGTTTTAGTCACTCTGGCAAGCTAAGCGGAGGCAGGCCCACAGAGACGAGTAAATAACTCTCACAAGTTGCTCCGAAGGGAACCAAGTCCACAAAGGTAACTCTGGGTCAATGGTTCCCAAAGTGGGCAGCAGCACCCTTTGTGGTGGGCAGTGGGATTACCTTGAGGGGGTTCAAAGAGGAACGAGGGGTGCAGGGGGGCGCTGAAGCCTAGTGAATTCAAACCAGACAATGGGAAACTTGCATCACTTCATGAAGCCCTTCGATCGCATTGAGAATCTCAATCTCTTAAAAAAAGAAAAGAAAAGAATTGACTGAATGGAAAAGTTGTTTTGAATATGCGTTGTCTCTGCTTTTTTTGGCAGTATTCTTTTACAGCTTCCTTCCATAAAAATAATAACAATAATTTATTATGTATTTATTTATTACTTAGAGAAAAATAACTACCAAACTTTTAGAAGACATATGAAGGCAGCCCTGTTTAGGGAAGCTTTTAATGTTTAATAGGTTATTGTATTTTGGTGTTCTGTTGGAAGTCACCCAGATGGGCGGGGTATACATAATAAATTATTATTATTATTATTATTATTATTATTATTATTATTATACCCCACCGATCGGGCTGGGTTTCCCCAGCCCCTCCATGCAGCTTCCAACAAAAGGTTAAGAATACATTAAAACATCAGTCATTCAAAACTTCCCCAAGCAGGGCTGGCTTCAGATATCTTCTAAATGTCAGATAGTTGTTTATCTCCTTAACATCTGATGAGAGGGTGTTCCATGGGGCAGGTGCCACCACCAAGAACGCCCTCTGCCTGGTTCCCTTTAACCTCACTTCTCGCAGGTAGGGAACCGCCAGAAGACCCTCGGAGCTGGACCTCAGGGCTGAATGATGTGGGTGGAGACGCTCCTTCAGGTATACTGGGCCGAGGCTGTTTCGGGCTTTCAAGGTCAGCACCAACACTTTGAATTGTGCTCAGAAACGTACTGGAAGCTAATGCTGGTCTTTCAAGACTGGTGTTTTGTGGTCTCGGCAGCCGCTTCCATTCACCATTCTAGCTGCCACATTTAAAGCAGAGCATGAATGCCTAAAGCTTTTGCTAATGCAGATGCTTTTGGGTTCAGAAGTGGGAAACCAGAGCTTTAACTATAGGGACCTTTGTTGGCAAGGTGATGTCTCTGCTTTTTAAGATGCTGTCTAGGTTTGTCATCGCTTTTCTCCCAAGAAGCAGGCGTCTTTTAATTTTGCGACTGCTGTCACCTTCTACTATTTCTAAGAAGGTTTGCGTCATTTTGTTTTTTTCTTGAAAAGGCTCTAATCTGAAAGAATCACCTGCCACCAGTCGTGTGACCCTTGTATTACAGTGTTGCATCAATAACTCCTGTTAGGCACACAAAATCTCCCAAACCATCACCCCATCTTGTACTCCTTGTTCAAAAATATTATTTCTCCATCCTCCAGAGGATTTGGCTAATAACAAGGGTCTGGAATAACAAGGGTCTGTGCGCACCAGGCTTCAGGAAGCTCTCCGCAAGCCTTGGGAGCTCGCGGGAGTTCCCGTCAGGCTCCCTAGGCTGCTTGCGGATAGCAGCCTGCATCTTGAAGCCCGGGACACGCTGCACAGCGCGCCCTGGGCTTCGGTTCCCCGACCTGGTTTGGAGGCTGGCGGTGGGGAGAAGCGCGCTTCTCCCAGCCACCAGCCCCACAAGCTCGGGGGACAGCGGGATGGCAGTGGTCCGCCTCCCCACTGTCCCCCGAGCTTGTGGGACAGTGGGGAGGCACAGCTCGGGGGTCAGCGGGGAGCCACAGCGCGCCAACCCGCTGTTCCCCGACCTGGTTTGGGCTTCAGGCAGATATCCGCCCGGGGGTGGGGAAAACTAGGTGCGTCCTATGGGTCGGTGCGCCCTATGGAGTGAAAAATACGGTATTTTGTGCTGAGCAGTAAGAATCTTTCACACAACCTTTCTGTCACCACCACCATTTACCACCATTGGTGAATATGCTGGTTCTTCCAATAGCCTCAGAAGATTACTATGAACGTTATCTGCTTTACTAAAATCAGAAATATTTCCATTAAACCTACTAGGCAGGTTGTGGTGTTTTTTAAGGCTACTGCCAAGACAGTCTGTCTTCTGCAGGCTGCTAGTTTATTAAATGTGCGTTTCTTTGGCTTATTCCAAGAAACTGGTCACCTGACCATGAAGTTGTTTTATGCCTTCTGGTACATGGAGAAATTTCCTTATGGAATAAAGTATCTGAGCAATGAGCAAAAGATTGCAGATAACCACGACTATTGCAATGATGTCCGTCCACCTGATGGAATCCTGGGTTGGGTTCTGAGTCGCTTCGGTGCATGTTCAGGAAATATAATGGAAGGCGGAAAATGTTATCTACATGCATACACATGTTCCACCAGAACCTCTGCTTTTTAATGCAAATTTGTTTGTGCTTCTTGTCATGTCCATTCCTTTCGGAGATCAAATAGCGCAGAGATACTTCACATCTTGCATAAATGTAACAGATGTTTTAGTCACTCTGGCAAGCTAAGCGAAGGCAGGCCCACAGAGACGAGTAAATAACTCTCACAAGTTGCTCCGAAGGGAACCAAGTCCACAAAGGTAACTCTGGGTCAATGGTTCCCAAAGTGGGCAGCAGCACCCTTTGTGGTGGGCAGTGGGATTTCCTTGAGGGGGTTCAAAGAGGAACGAGGGGTGCAGGGGGGCGCTGAAGCCTAGTGAATTCAAACCAGACAATGGGAAACTTGCATGACTTCATGAAGCCCATCCATTGCATTAAGAATCGACTGAATGGAGAAGTTGTTTTGAATATGGGATCTCTCTGGTCTTTCGGCAGTATTCTTTTACAGCTTCCATAATAACAATAATAATAATAATAATAATAATAATAATAATAATAATTTATTACTTATTTATTTATTAATTAGAGGAAAAAACCTACCAAACTTTTAGAAGACATCTGAAGACAGCACTGTTTAGGGAAGCTTTTAATGTTTAATAGGTTATTGTATTTTGGTGTTCTGTTGGAAGTCACCCAGAGTGGCTGGGGAAACCCAGCCAGATGGGCAGGGTATAAATAATAAATTATTATTATTATTATTATTATTATTATTATTATTATTATACCCCGCCCATCTGGCTGGGTTTCCCCAGCCACTCTGGGCAGCTTCCAACAAAAGATTAAAAATACCGTAATACATCAAACATTAAAAGCTTCCCTAAACAGGGCTGCCTTCAGATGTCTTCTAAGTGTCAGATTGTTGTTTATCTCCTTAACATCTGATGGGAGGGCGTTCCACAGGGCGGGCGCCACCATCAAGAAGGCCTTCTGCCTGGTTCCCTGTAACCTCACTTCTCGCAGGGAGGGAACCGCCAGAAGACCCTCGGAGCTGGACCTCAGGGCTGAATGATGGGGGTGGAGTCGCTCCTTCAGGTCTACTGGACCGAGGCCGTTTCGGGCTTTCAAGGTCAGCACCAACACTTTGAATTGTGCTCAGAAACGTACTGGGAGCTAATGCTGGTCTTTCAAGACTGGCGTCATATGTTCTCGGCGGCCGCTCCCAGTCACCAGTCTAGCTGCCACATTTAAAGCAGAACATGAATGCCTAAAGCTTTTGCTGATGCAGATGCTTTTGGGTTCAGAAGTGGGAAATTGTTCCATGGAGTTATCTGCCTATCTACCTTTTCATTTTGTTCTTTCCTGGCAGGTAAAGATGGGACCAGGTGCTTCCTTCCATCTTCCCCTTCTGAGCTTCCTAGTCATCTCCTTTCTTCAAGGTACATCCTGGATGGGCTCCTATGGTGTTGGCCCCCAGCTTGAGGACTCCTTCATGCTTGCATCACCGATGACACTAACTGGTAGCTTAGTATGACATGAACAAGCCTCGTCTTCACCAAGGCCAACTATCCAGACTGGTCCTACATGGGCCAGAAAAAAGCCAGGGAAGTCCCCAAATAGGAATTCTATCACAGAAGGAGAAAGGAAAAAGAAGAGGGGGAGGGAATCAAATTGATTCCAAGCCGAACGGGCATAACGGGAGAGGCGGTCCCATAGGTACGAGGGTCCTAGGCCATAATAAAAGAAGTTCCCTTTTCATGCAGCACATATTTAAACTATAGAACTTGCTCCTTCAGGAAGCAGCAATGGCCACCAATTTGGGTGGCTTTAAAAGAGGATCGGGCCAATTCATGGAGGAGAAGAGGGCTAGCAATGGCTGCTAGCAATGATGCCTAAGCCTCCACAGTTGGTGGAAGCAATGCTTCTGAATACCACTTGCTGGAAATTGCAGGAGGGGAGAAGCCTCCTGTGCTTGAATCCTGCTTTGAGGTTTCCCACAGGCATGTGGTTGGCTACTGTGAGAGCAGGAGGTGTCAGAACCGGGGATGAAAAGCCAGCTGGCTCGGACCCAGCTGGAGCGTCTCCCCTCTCAGCCTTGCCACTGCGGAGATCCATCAGTCATCCTCCTCTGACGTGTGTCTGCGACTCAAGCTGCAGTGCACACATTACTCAGCGGTGTAAACTGCACAACAGATCAGGCCCAAGGCGTGGATACGATACTAAACTACGCATTTATTATACATAAATCAGGACAAAGAAAACGTGGCTTCTCTCCTTGCCGTTCTTCTCGGAGAGAGAAAACAAAAGCAATACGGAGCGGAAGTTCCGCTCACGCCAACAATCTGTGCTGGAATGTAAACAGACATGTGACATGTAACAATCCACATATCTGCAGCAAAGGGTGGAATGGAATTCCCAACAGGAGGATGGACTAGTTCGGTGGCCTAATCCAGCAGGCTCTTCTTAATAGGAAAATGTGGGACATTCACTAGAGAAATTTGGGGTGGGTTATGTTTGGAAAAGTTCTGTAGTCACCACTAGAGTCTTTGAGTTCAACATTTTGCTGGTGAAAGTCCATCAGCCTCCAGCCAAAAAACTTCCCCTCTTTTCCCCTCAGCTGTTGGCTTCAGCCTTCACTGGTCTTCCATTAAAGGCAACCTTCCATTAAAGGTCTACTGCCCCCTATTTATGCCCTGAGTGGATTTCCCCACCTGCAGGAAACGGTTGTATTTCTGTATTCTGATCCACGAAGCCAAGCTCTCTTGACCACAGCTCATGTTTTCCCTCTTCTCTAGCCACCTCAGCAGGTTCTTCCTGCCCCACTGGCTGGATGTTCTTTGAGAAAAGCTGCTACGGACTCTTCAACCAGGTTCCCCTGAAGTTTACAGAGGCAGAGGTAAGGAGCAGGCCTGGGCCAAACCAGGGGGCACAGTCTGAGAATGCTTATTCCCCCTCTTTTTCTGCAATAATCTAGCAAGCTTTAAACGGTGAGCGTTTTCCACATGTACCCATGGTAGGCTGGCCACGAGGGCAAGGTGGGGCAGAGCCCTACCAGTATAGTTTGGCAATACTTCAAGGCTCACCCAGACTTCTGCTGTTCTGCAGCAGCCCCGATCTTATGCACTGAATTGAATCTTATCAGGTCTTGTGGAAAATCCAAAGGAATTTTGCTTAAGCAAGTTTCAGTTCTGCAGGTGTCCTAGGTACTAAGTCAGAACTCTGCCCACTACTTCACACTTGATTTGTTTGACTGCTCTATCCTAATAGCATGTCAATAATAATAATAATAATAATAATAATAATAATAATAATAATTGTACCTTGCCCATCTGGCTGGGTTGCAACATATGTATAGCTTCCAACATACCGTATTTTTCACTCTATAGGACACACTTTTTCCCTTCCAAAAATGAAGGGGAAATGTGTGTGCATCCTATGGAGCGAATGCAGGCTCCTTGGCTTCAGCGATAGCAACGCAAGCCTCCAAGCGCAGAGGAGCGCTCCCTCCGCGCTCTGGAGGCTTTGCGTTGCTTTCACTGAAGCCTGGAGACCGAGAGGGGTTGGTGCGCACCGACCCCTCTCGCTCTCCAGGCTTCAGGGATAGCCGCCTGAAACCTTTGGAGCGCAGCGGGAACTCGCGCCGCACTCCGAAGGCTTCGGGTTCCTTTTGCTGAAGCCGGGAGAGCTGCGCAGCGTCCCTTCAGCAAAGCGGGAGGAGAAATGGAAGGGGCTCAGTTTCTCCTGCCGCTTCGCTGAAGGGGTGCTGAGCAGAGAGGGGGAGAATTCCCCCCCCCCCCGTTCTCCCCCTCCTATGGTCCGGTGCGTCCTATAGAGCGAAAAATACAGTATATAAAAGCATAATAAACATTAAGTGTTCAAAAACTTCCTTCAGATGTTTTCTAAAAGTTGTGTATTTCTTTATCTCCTTGAAATCTGCTGGGAGGGCGTTCCACAGCACGGGCGCCACCACCAAGAAGGCCCTCTGCTTGTTTCCCTGTAATCTCACTTCTTGCAGTGAGGGAACCACCAGAAGGCCTTCGGAGCTGGATTTCAGGGTCTGGGCTGGACAATGGGGGTGGAGATGCTCCTTCAGGTATACAGGGCTGAAGCTGTTTAGGGCTCCTCATCCATGTGGTGTGACATCATCAGCACATCAAACATTTCTCTCCCTTCCACCTGCAGCAGCCAATGGTGTGGCAGGGAGCGGGTGGGGAAGACATGGCATGATGACATCACTCCGGTCAAGGATAAGTCAAGCTGCCAGTTACAAGGCAGGAGGGAGCTGTAAATTAGGGTTCCCCTGTGCCAGTTTTCCTGCCTTCTGCTTACACCCTTCCTCTTGGGGAGCAAGAATGCTGGTTTGGAGAAGAAAAAGATAAATGTCTCCTCTTACTGCTCAGAGTTGCACAATGACTGAGAAGCCTGCTGAGATGTTCAACCCAATTCAAGTGGCATCTCCTGCTCTCTAAAGTGAAACCTTTTGTCCGTGATCTCTCCCAGAAGCAGTGCCAATCTTCTGGGGGAAATGGCCACCTGGCCTCCATCATGAATGGTCAAGAAATGTCTGTAGTGGCTGCATATGTCAAAGACCTCTATAAAGCTGGGAAACCTGTCTGGATTGGACTGCACTCCTACGACCTTCCGAAGGTCAGTAGAAGCAACCTTGGCTTCTCCTTTCTATCAGTATTCTGAATGCGGGAACTGCAGTCTATCTAAGGTCTATATTGCTTGTTTTATGTTGCCATGGCCGTTGGCTAGTGCGAATAAAGTTTACCTTATCTAAGGTGTAGCTGTAGAGCAGGAAGACGGCATTGTGCCCACCTGCTTCTCCTAAGAAGAATCTGCTGGATCTGGTCAATGGCCCAATTAGTCTAGCATCCATCTAGCCCAGATGCCTGGGAGAAACGTGTTAGCAGGATTCAAGCACAAGGGCCCTTTCCCTTCCTGTGGTTTCCAGCAACTGGGATCCAGAAGCTTTGCTACCTCCAACAGTGGAGGCAGAACATAGCCATCCTGGCTAGGAGAAGCCCTCTCCTCCAGAATTGAGGAGCCTCACTTTTCTCCAGAAGCACCTCCTCACTGCCTGAGCAGGTCCCTCCACCACCAATGGGCGCAGTGTTAAGTTTAGGGGAGGAGAGAGTTGTTGCTTATTCCTCGGCAAAGAGTCCCACCTCTTTGATCTTTCTACAGAGCAAAGCATGGAAATGGACCGATTCCTCCGTAGTCTCCTATCACAACTGGGCACCTGGGCAGCCCTCACAAGCCAGTGGGGATGAGCTGTGTGTCGAGCTGATGGCAGGAGGTGAGGTGGAGGCGTCACAATTTGCATCCAGGAGCAGGTGCTTTAAGGCAGGGGTCAGCAAACCTTTTCAGCAGGGGGCCGGTCCACTGTTCCTCAGACCTTGTGGGGAGCCAGACTATATTTTGGGGAAGAAGAAAAAAAGAACAAATTCTTATGCCCCACAAATAACCCAAATAAAAAGGACACATTCTACTCATGTAAAAACACACTGATTCCCAGACCGTCTTCAGGCCGGATTTAGAAGGCGATTGGGCCGGATCCAGCCCCCAGGCCTTAGTTTGCCTACCCATGCTTTAAGGTATATTGAGGTGAGAATGATCCATTGTTTGGAGGAATAAAATGGTTATTGGCAGACCTCTAAGAAGCCATGATCCCTATGTTATGTTATAAGGTCTTATATATAAAAAAATAAAAGTTCATAAATGTACAAGGCGAACACATACATAAGTATATAAACCACATGTCTGAAACAGTGCAGGAGAACAATCTTGGAGCCATTTTGACTCTCCCAAATTCACCTCAAATATTTCTCTGCAAGGAGGAAGGAAATGGGTTAGGGTTGGGGTTAGGGTTAGGGTTTTTCAATTGTCTTTGGACTGTAGGGGCTTACATCTTTCTGTAAATACACTCTGGCAAGTATCTGTTAAGCTGAGCACACTATCAATATGTGTAGAAGATTCAGGAAATACTGGTAAGTATTTACCATCTCCAAGGACTGGCCAGGCTACCCAGAAAAGGCAATCAGATAATAAGGCATGATCAGGCAGACAGGAGAGAAGCAACACACTCAAATTTCTGCTGGTGATGTTTGTATGATGTTTTGGGGGGTGGTCTCTGGCTACAGGGTGGGCAATTTCCGAAGTCTATATAAGGGCTTGTGCACCATTGTTCTGGGTTCCTCTCCTCCCTTCCTGAGTGGAATGAGTGGGGGACCCTGTTGCAACAGCTTTAATAAACATCAGGCTTACTAGCTGCTTTGCTTCTCAATATTCTCTGGTTGGCCTCTGTTATTTTCTCCTACTGATAGAGAACCCACATTGGGACTTTACACGGGCTCTTGGATACCCCATAAGGGGAAAAGGAGCAGGTTTTCTTCCTTATAACACCTACCACACACTTACAACTAAAGATGGACACATCACTCCATGGAGGTTAGATGCGAGGATCTTCAATAATAGCCAAACAGTAAATACCGGATTTTTCGCCCTATAGGACGCACTTTTCCCCCTCCAAAAATGAAGGGGAAATGTGTGTGCGTCCTATGGGGCGAATGCAGGCTTTCGCTGAAGCCTGGAGAGCGAGAGGGGTCAATGCGCACCGACCCCTCTCCCTCTCCAGGCTTCAGGAAGCTATCCGCAAGCCGTGGGAGCCCACAGGAGTTCCCCTGGGCTCCCACGGCTTGGGCAGAGCTGCCTGCACCCCGAAGCCCCAGCGCTCGGAGCAGTCGCGCCGGGGCTTCGGGTAGCTCTGCGCAAGCCGCGGGAGAGCTCCCCCGGCTTGTGCAGAGCTGCCTCTCATCCCGAAGCCCCAGCACGCTCAGCAGTTGTGCCGGGGCTTCGGGTAGCTCTGTGCAAGCCGCGGGAGGGCTCCCACGGCTTGCGGAGAGCAGCCTGTTCTGGGGGCTGGGGTCAGGGGAAGCTCGGGCTCACACCTTGGGGGGGGGGGGGGAAATAATTTTTTTTCTTTATTTCCCCTCCAAAAAACTAGGTGCGCCTTATGGGCCGGTGCGCCCTATGGTGCGAAAAATACGGTAAGATAAGTGTCAGAGACGTCCCCTCCCAGAGCCACAGCGAGGACTCTGAGGAGGAGGGGTGGCAGGCCAGGGAAAATAGAGGCTTGCTTCAAGCCCCTCCAATCCAGGAATACAGGCTAGAAATTCCCAAGATTAGGCCAGGCGGAGACAGGCCAGGCTTCAGAGGAATTGCAGCTTTTAGACATCACTCAGAGGAGGGTAGAGATTACCGTATTTTTTGCTCTATAGGACGCACTTTTCCTCCTCCAAAAATGAAGGGGAAACGTGTGTGTGTCTTATGGAGCGAATGCAGGCTTTCGCTGAAGCCTGGAGAGTGAGGGGGGTCTGTGCGCACCGACCCCTCTTGCTCTCCAGGCTTCGGGAAGCTATCCGCCAGGCTCTGCAGGCTTGCGGATAGCTGTCTGCAGCCCGAAGCCTGGGGAGTGCGGCGCCGCGCACCCTGGGCTTCGGGCAGCTATCCGCAAGCCTTCGGAGCCCGGCGGGAATTCCCGCCGGGCAGAAGGCTTGCGGATAGCGGCAAGCTCCGGGAGCGAAGACGAGGTTGCATGCAACCTCACCCCAGTTCACAGACTCTTTCTGGGGGCTGGGGTTGGGGGAAGCTCAGGCTTCCCCCATCCCCAGCCCGGCAAGCTCAGGGAGCGATGGCGAGGTAGAGCGCAACCTCACCGGCGCTCCCGGACCCGTTCTGGGGGCTGGGGAAGCTCGGGCTCCCCCCGCCTCAGCCCCGCGGCTAAAAAGGAAGCCAAGACAGTGAGCGGGATCCATTCCCCTCGCTGTCTTGGCTTCTGCCAAAGCCATGCACAGCCTCTGGGGGCTGGGGGAAAAATAATTCCCCCCTTTATTTCCCCCCAAAAAAACTAGGTGCACCCTATTGTCCGGTGCGCCCTATAGAGTGAAAAATACGGTAATTCAGAGAAGGAGGGACAGGCTGTTCCCAAGTCCCCATGGGCTAGCAGAAGGGGCAGAGTTGTAAGGTTGTAAGGTGCAGGCTGGAAATTTCCAAGATAGCATAGGTCAGATGGAGAAAGGCCAGGCTTCAGAGGAACTGCAGCTTTTAGACATCACTCAGAGGAGGGTAGAGACTAATTCAGGAACGTAGGGACATGCTGTTCCCAAGTCCTCATGGGCTAGCAGAAGGGGCAGAGTCCAGGCTTAGCATCAGGCCAACAGGAGGTAAGTCGGCCGATGGAGTATGTCCTGTTGGCGAAAATCCTGTCCTTCAGTTGGCTCAACGTCTTCACCAGAGGACTAGAGCTGGGGAGCTCGGAATGTAACTACTGTGTAAATACTAATAAATCTAATCACAATTAAACCGTCAGCTTGCCGCGTTCTTGGCAGGGGGGAGAGACGTCTGGAATCCTGAGAATAGGGAAAAAATTATTAGACATAAGGCAAATTAATGAGAAAGGGCAAAGTACTCAAGCAATAATATGGGATACAATGAAAGCAGTGATGAGGGGAATTAGTATTAGGGAATCCAGTAAAATGAGGGGGTGGGGTGGGGACAAAAAGAAGAAATGTAAAAGTTAGGGGAAGAAATTAGGACACTGGAAAACCAATGTATTAATGATAAAGATAAAAGTTTTTTGTCCTTTTGTTTCTTTCTTCTTTAAGTATATAAACGTTGCATACATGCTGAAAATTATACTATAATAAGCCTTGTGATGCAATATGATAATGTTTACCGATGCAACATAAGAACTTTAATAAATAAATAAAACTGCAAAAATAATAATATGAGTTTCATCATCATCATCATCATCCGCCCATCTGGCTGGGTTTCCAGCTGAAAGTTCAACAGACAGACCATTCATATATCTGCAGACTACTCTGTAAATTTTGAACTGAGAAGGGGCAATAGAAAAGTTTCATGTAAATAAAAAACCTCTTTTCTTCCAGATTATTTAACATGGAAAGCTGCGCCATGTACAGGGAAGCATCCCTTCCTGTGCAGAGCTCCTTTGGAGAAGAAAGGTTAAATCAGGATTCCAACATGTCCAGAATCATGGAGAGATGGAAATGTCCCAGAGGAGAGGTCCTTCCTTCCCAACAGCACAAGTCACCCAGTGTCCTGGCCCCCCAGAGTGCCTGAGGTTAAATGTCGTCTGTTCTGGGCTGCGTTGATACCAATAAACTCTCTCTTCTGAGTACACGTGGCGCTTTTGAGTTTGTCAACTTCAATCTTCTTGCTGTGATTCCTGAATCGCAGGCGGTGGGACTAACAGGAGGATCACATGACGGAGTCCCGTAGAAAGCATCGACACACATCCGAAAGACATGTGCACGATATACAGCACACTAGCAGAGTCAGCGAAAGCAAATTTGTGCAGGAATTGTGGCATCAAGCATTTCATTATTTACAGCAAAGAAAACGAAAGAAACATGGCAGGCTGTGTGAGCGGCTTCTCACACATCCTTTCTAGCCCTTAGCTGAACAGAGAACAAAGAGCGGAAGTTGTCAGCTTCACTTCCGCTCGCACACACAGGGATAAGAAATGAAATCACCCGATCACGTGACCCCCTGCAATTGTGGCAGTGGAAAATACTAACATCCTCCCCCTTTTCCTTTGCAATTATTGCAGTGGCATCTAACACATATGCAACATATGGTCAAACACATTTAGTTGTTCCTCGTTAGCAACCTTCGACAAAAGGTCAGCAGGAATTTCTTTTCCTGGATTGTTGTTGTTTAGTTGTTTAGTCCTGCCCATGGAGCAGAGCACGCCAGGCACTCCTGTCTTTCATTGCCCCCTGCAGTTTGTGAAACTCATGCTGGTAGCTTTGAGAACACTGTCCCGCCATCTCGTCCTCTGTCGTCCCCTTCTTGTTGTGCCCTCCATCTTTCCCAACATCAGGGTCTTTTCCAGGGAGTCTTCTCTTCTCATGAGGTGGCCAAAGTCTTGGAGCCTCAGCTTCAGGATCTGTCCTTCCAGTGAGCACTCAGGGCTGATTTCCTTCAGAATGGATAGGTTTGATCTTCTTGCAGTCCATGGGACTCTCAAGAGTCTCCTCCAGCACCAGAATTCAAAAGCATCAATTCTTCGGCGATCAGCCTTCTTTATGGTCCAGCTCTCACTTCCATACATCACCACTGGGAAAACCACATTTATCAATCCTCGTTTGACACAGCCTCTTGCATGAAATAACTTGATTTCAAGTATTTGGTTCTTTGCTTACAATCTTCAGAATTTAGCAAAGCTAAGCAAGATTTGTTGTCCTGGTAAACCTGTACAGGACAAGATACATTCAATCTCATGGCACTTTTGAGTTTGTCACCTTCAGTCTTCTAACCATGATTCCTACATTGCAGGGGGTAAGACTAGATGACTCTTGGGGTCCCTTCCAACCCTACAATTCCATGCTTCCATGTTCCTCGTAGAGCTTCCACCATCTGAAGGAATGGGTTGAACTCCAATAAGGCTACACATCACTTCTGGTTTACAGAAATGTATGGTCATCCTGGCATTTCGGCCTGAGTTAAAGGTAAAGGGAGCCCTGACCATTAGGTCCAGTCGTGACCAACTCTGGGGTTGCAGCGTCATCTCACTTTATTGGCCGAGGGAGCCGGCGTACAGCTTCCGGGTCATGTGGTCAGCATGACTAAGCCGCTTCTGGCGAACCAGAGCAGCGCACAGAAATGCCGTTTACCTTCCCACCAGAGTGGTACCTATTTATCTACTTGCACTTTGACATGCTTTCAAACTGCTGGGTTGGCAGGAAAAGGGACCAAGCAATGGGAGCTCACCCCGTCACGGGGATTTGAACCACCAACCTTCTGATCGGCAAGCCCTAGGCTCTGTGGTTTAACCCACAGCGCCACCCGCGTCCCTCTCAGCCTGAGTTACTCTCTTTTTAAAAAATAATAATAAAATGGATTTGTTTTTGGAAAGGACAGGGGTATTTTATTTCCAATATGATAGCAAATAATGGTCAGTTGCACTGGTCAACTTTTGCACTGTATTCCTTTTTGGGCAGACAATCTCAGATAACTCATGCCATAATCTCCAACTGTCCCAAAAATGCCGGGACCGTCATGAAAATGCCACAACTCCTTACTTTGTCATGCAGAGTCCCGAATTCTCTAGGAGCCAAAGCAAAGTGGTGGCGGATTCGGGTCCCAGTGCTCTCTCCCAGCTTGGAGGGAGAGGGGGCAGAGAGGCGCAAACAACAGCTGGGCGGCGAGACGGGGGTGGGAGGGGAGATAACAAACCAAAAACAGGGTGCCTTAAAGCAGCTGCAGCATCCTCGGCCAAACCAAAGTAGCAGGGAATGGGCTTCCTCAGAAGCAAGCCCCGTTAATCTCTATGGGGCTGGATCACAGGTAATGGCTGAAATTGTATGAGGCACAGGCACACATCCCAAGTTGCCAGTGATGTGATCTGTGGCCCTATGGCTACTCAGAAGTAAAAAGTATGATAATAATAATAATAATAATAATAATAATAATAATAATAATTTATTTATTTATACCCCACCCATCTGGCTGGGTTTCCCCAGCCACTCTGGGTAGCTCCCAACAGAATATTAAAAACACGATAAAACATCAAACTTTAAAAACTTCCCTGAACGGGGAAGTTCAGATGTCTGCAGATGTCTTCAGATGTCTTCTAAAAGTCAGATAGTTGTTTATTTCCCTGCCATCTGATGGAAGGGCGTTCCACAGGGCGGGTGCCACCACCAAGAAGGCCCTCTGCCCTGGTTCTCTGCAACCTCACTTTTCGCAGGGAGGGAACCGCAAGAAGGTCCTTGGATCTGGACCTCAGTGTCTGGGCTGAACGACCCGGGTGGAGACGCTCCTCCAGGAATACTGGGCCGAGGCCGTTTAGGGCTTTCAAGGTCAGCACCAACACTTTGAATTGTGCTCGGAAACATACTAGGAGCCAGTGTAGGTCTTTCAAGACCGGTGTTATATGGTCTCAGTGGCTGCTCCCCGTCCCCAGTCTAGCTGCCCCATTCTGGATTACTTGTAGTTTCTGAGTCACCTTTAAAGGTAGCCCCACGTAGAGTGTGTTGCAGTAGTCCTAGCAGGAGATAACCAGAGCATGCACCACTCTGGTGAGACAGTCTGTAGGTCGGGAGGGTCTCATCCTGCATACCACATGGAGCTGGTAGACCGCTGCCCTGGACGCAAAATTAACCTGTGCCTCCATGGACAGCTGTGAGTCCAAAATGACTCCCAGGCTGTGCACCTGGTCCTTCAGGGGCACAGTTACCCCATTCAGGACCAGGGAGTCCTCCACACCCGCCCGCTCCCTATCCCCCCAAAACAGTACTTCTGTCTTGTCAGGATTCAACCTCAATCTGTTATCCGCTATCCATCCTCTGGGCCAATCACCCCCCTGGGACGCTCGCCCCAGCCTGCGGGCAGCTAGCCCTGCCCCTGGGTGCCCAAGCAGCTAGCTCCACCTCTGCTTCCAAGTCCGCTTTCCTATGATTCTCATCATTGGCTCCAGCGCCACCTAGTGTCAGGCTCCCTGCCTTCTGCCCTGCCAGTGCCAATAGACACCGGGCACTTGTCTGGGGAATGCACTCGGAAGACAAAAAAATTATTGAGGAGTTAGTGATCTGACATGTTTACCCTTCCTGCCTCTGTTCCCGCCCTCTCCCTTGCTCTTGTGAAGTTTTTTGATGGTGTGAGAACAGTCTTTAATGTCCTGAGAACGTTGGGAGGAGGTGAAGCCCCCCTGCCAGTTGCCTTAATCAGTTGTGGAAGATAATGCTGGGTAGCTTCTTTGAAGTTGGACTTTGTTTTGAGAAAGTGAGGCATTGGGAGGCGGTGGCTACTGGAGGATCTGCACATAGCCAGCCTTGAAAGATACACAGGTTATCTATAAAATCGGATAGTTTGGGCTGAGTTTCTTTGAAGCTTCTGAATGGACTGATCGACCGAAGGACTACTTGGAGGAGTCACTTCACTGCTTCTTGAGGACTTCTAAGTGGGAGATTGACGTGCTTGCTTGATACATATACATCGCTTGCTGCCTTAGAATAAAATCTTTAACCTTCTCACTCACTTGTGTATTCTGTATTGCTACTGAATCTCATTTTAAAAGAACCACCTTGCCTTTGGCAAGACAGCACCACAGTGACAAGCAGTGCAATGGATGAGCCTCACCCTGGGAAAACCTCCTTCTGCTTCACCCTCAAGAAAGAAGGGCATTTTCGCTGGCCAGGTTTAATTCAAACCCATCAAACCTCCTTTGGGGAAGGTTCTCAGGCAGGGTGGAAGGAGAAAGAACTTGCCCATGTGAAGACCACCTGGTGGAAACCCTTACACATATGGTTCTCAATTGTAAACTATATGCTGATCTCCGCCAGCAATTTCTAGATCAACTCTGTATCCCCAAATGGAAACCAGAGTTGGAGGTCATACATTTGCTATTACTGGGGAATGATCAGGAGCTCACCAAGTTAGTGGCTAAATATCTCTATTTGGTTTTTTGTCGTCGAAATACACTGCAGACCAAGAGATGTGACAATAGACTGCTCTGCCTCCTTACTTTTAGCAAATGTTTTGTGCCACTGGGGAAGTGGTAATTCTGTATTGATTTGTTTTGGATGTTTGTATGTGATGCCAATAAAATGATTGATGATGATGATACAAGCAGTGCCAGATTTACATATAAACTAAACAGCCTATAGTTTAGGGCCCCACTGTCTTGTGCGCCCCACCAAAAAAAGTCCAGTAAAGAAACCTGGATGTATATTTCCGAAACAGAAGATAAAAAACAACAACAAATAAAATAAAACCTACATACAGCAACCGTGTTTTGTGTTGTGTAGGCTCCTATGATGTAAGTCATGGGCCCTGCCTGCTCCCTAAAATATCACTGGTTTGCTCCTTTCTATATACAGTGGTACTTCCAGTTGTTGTTGTTGTTTAGTCGTTTAGTCGTGTCCGACTCTTCGTGACCCCAAATTAAGTTACAAACTTAATTTGTTCCAGAGGGCCATTCTTAACCTGAAACTGTTCTTAACCAGAGGCGTGCTTTTGCTAATGGCGCCGGCGGCACACGATTTCTGTTCTCTCTCTTTAAAAAAAAAAATTAAAAAAATTTATTGATAATTTCAGGATTACAAGAAAAATAAAAAATAAAAAACAACACTACAATACAAGAAAAATAAAAAAGAGAAAAGAGAAAAGCACAAAATATAAA